CCAAAACACACAAGACCTTATCTTATCAAAGCCCATAATTACAACAGCTATTTTGTTTCCTCAAATCAGCAATCAGTGCCTTTTTGCCACCAGCATAGCCCCTGTCAGCCTGAGCCATGAGTGACAAGAGCCGGGGCTTCCATTTTTTTCTTTTTCTCTTCCCACACTCTATATACACACATGCAGCCTCAGCTAAAGGGACTTGTTGCCTTGTTCTCCTCCATCGCCAAATAAAATGTGAGCCACAACTTCTGCAAACTCCTTAACCTGAAAGAAAAAATGTTTCAGATTAAATTTTGTTTTTAATGCTGTTGAATGTACCTTGGAAATCCCCATCTCTAATCCCACTTTGGCAAAACTTAATTATTTTCATATAAAATCTTGAGATGGTTTACAATTTTAAAAATATAAAAACAATTTACAGCATTTTATTAAAATGGGATTAAATCAACAATTAAAATAGTGGTTAGATAAAAAGTTTTTGGTCTGTTGTTGGAAGGAATAAAGAGGCAACTTCAGACAAACCTCTCTGGAGAGCATAAACAGGGTGCCACTCCTTGTAACAGCCCTCCTGAGTTCCTTCAAGGAGGTGTCTTGGAGAAGGACCTTCATGTAAGAATGTAAGGACCAGGCAGGTGTATATGGAGGGAGGCGTTATGTGCTGCTTAGCACTGTCAGGTCATCTCCAACTCATGACAACCCTATGAATGAAAGCCCTCCAAAGTGTCCTATCCATGGCATCCCAGCTTAGCTGTTTTCAATTCAAGGCTGTGGCTTCCTTTATGGAGTCAATTCATCTCTTATTTGGTCTTCCTTTTCTTCTTCTGCCTTCAACTTTCCCTAGCATGATTGTCTTCTGCAGGGAATCATACCTTCTCTTGACATGCCTGAAATATGACAGCCCCAGTTTTGTGATTTTTGCTGCTAGAGAAAGTTCTGGCTTGATTTGATTTAGGACCCACTTGTTTGTCTTTCTGTCAGTCCAGAGTATTTGCAAAGCTCTCCTCCTTCTGAATGCCACAAGTTTCTTCCTGTTAGCTTTCTTCACCGTCCTTCTTTTACACCCATACATAATGATCAGGAATACAATGGTGTGAATGATCTTGGCCTTGATCTCCACTGAATCATCCTTACGCTTCATGATCTTTTCTAGTTCTTTCATTGCTGCCCTTCCAAATCTCAGTCTTCTTCAAATTTCTTTGCTGTCTCTCTTTGAATTGATCACCAAGCCAAAGTTTGCAAAATCTTTCACAGTTTCAGTTTCTTCATTGTTGGCAGTAAAGCTGTGTAATTCCTCTATAATCGTAGTTTTTTGTAATATTCCGTTTCAGTCCTTCTTTTGTACTTCGTCTTTCACTTTCATCAGGAGTTGTTTCAAGTCCCTCCTTCCAGGGTTGTTTTTCATGGAACACTTCATATTAAGTAGTTTGACCAGTTGGACTAAGCAAATCCTAAGAATTCATATTATTGCTTCATTGTGATAATAGACTTTGAATTTTGCTCATTTAACCCAACCAGAAAAAATAAGACTGTTTGTATAAACATTTGAAGGGAAGAAAAAATGGCTGTTGCATCACACTCTCTAGAAGATTTGTAAACACAGAGACAGGCGTGCAGGGAAATGTGCTCACCTCTGCTTGCAAGAAAAGGAAAACACTGTAGTTCCTTACCACTGGACTGTGATTCCCTGGGATATAAATGAGCAACGAGAAATCGCTCCCCACTCTGTTTTGCTCTCCCACCTGAGCTCAGTTAAAACCTTCATGCATGCAAATTGCTAGAGATGGAAAGATGGTTCCTAGAAAATCAGACCAGTCTCTTCAGCTCTTTCCAAGAACTGCTTTCAAGAGATCTTTCCAGGAAATGTTTGAGTCATATAAACAACACCAGCAACACACACAGGAAAATGATCTGGTCTGTTGGTAGCAGAGGCTTTTCACCATATCTAGCGTGCGAGACACTATGGTTTTGGATTCAGCTTCTGTCCACTAGGTGGCACTCATATCTTATGGTGTCATATCTCAAGACACCATGAAAGCTGAGCTCCAGCAGCAAAACCAAACCACATGTTTTAAGGTTCTATTGTCTTTGAGATATGGTCCACGAGGGCATCTCAGCGATCAAATGCCTTATTCTTGTTTTTAGATTCTATTTATCCAAAGCCAGCTTATTTCTAGTCAATCTGTTACTTTCATTTTCTTTTAGCATAACAGAGGTTATTCTTTCTCAAACTTTCCTCTGACAGCATTCATACACACCTTAGTTGTAACTTGTGCTAGTCGTCCATCTGCAGTCAGGATAAATGATGGCCTTTTGAACAAACCCATTATGTGCCAGGTGATGTTTTGTTATGTTTTGTCATGTTGTGTTGTAATTTGATTTGATTTGATTACAATTATTTTCATGGTAAGCAGGGCTGACTTCAGCCCTCTGGCAGAACCTTCCTTTTGATGTTAGCCCTGGATCCATGAGGTACCTGCCATTTAAACTTGTGCTCTGGAGTGAGTCTACAACAGGGGCATTCTGGGTAATTAAAATGGCAGGTAGTTCATAGCCCACTGGGGGAGGAGAAACAGACATAGTAGAAAGTCCAGCAGAAAGCACTTTGCCACCTCCCAATTAGGAGGTGGTTTTAGCTAATAAACCCTCCAAGGCTCTCTCCCTCAGTGAATCTACCTTACCATGCCACTGTTACCAGCTGCTCTTGCTCTTCCCCTTTTTTGAACCACTGCTGCCACTTACCTGCTTGGCAAGCAGAGGACCAAGGAGCAAGAAGGAAGGTGCAGGACCTGCTGCCCTTCCTTCTCACCACCACAGTTTTCTGGGCCAGAGCAAGAAACAGGAGAACAAGCAGACAGTAGCAGTGAAATGGACAAGCAAATCCAGGGGAGTCTTCTTCTCAGTGGGTTTCTGCTAGCATATGGGCACTCAGCAGGTACCCAGCCTTGCCGACACTTGACAACAGCGCTGCAAGGGCCCCTCAGACCTGCCACTTCTGCTAATACCAAAATACCCTTGAAATTAGAATGTCCCTCCCCTCAATTAGGCAGATTACTGTTTTGATGTATACATGCTAGTTAAGAAGAAAAGCAGGAAGGAGAGCAAGAGGTAAGGGACAGGAGGGAATCACCCCACTCCAGTAAAGGGCATTGCTTGATTGCATCCACTGTCAGGACAAAATGAGCAAAGGTTCTGCTATAATATGGCTGCTAAAAGCCTGGCCACTGTAGGAGCAGCTTTAGACTTAAGGTGCAACACTTCATCTAATCTTCTCTTCCATGTTGCAAGTTTTGCTTCCCACATGCACCTTAGAAATGCTAATGCTTGGAAATGCTTAGAAATGCTAGAAATTTGCTAGAAAAGATACTACAAATTTGTTCCAACTCTTCCTCTTTACCCAAAACTATCAAACTCAAAGTGTTGCCCTTGTTTCCTCCTAAAGGGGGGATACATTTACAGGGAAGGGAATTTTGATCAGTTTGTGTTAAACGCAGTATCACTTAAAACCATTTAAAAATTCCACCTCCTTAAAAAGTGTCAAATACTCCAAATGCTCCCAGTAAAAAAGCCTTGTGTTTAGTGAGTTATCCCTTGCTATGGGTTGCATCCAACAATGTACGTCCACTGGCAAAACAGATATTAATGGGGGTTGAATTTCCCCTCAGCCTTACAGATTAGGGAGGTGTACAGGTGACAGAGGGGAAGAGAATTCATGCTGTATGACCACAGGTCCACTCACGAAACATGCCATGAATAATTTATTTTAATAGTGCCACAGGACTGTTTCCTGATTTGTACAGAACATTTTTAATTGCATTTGCTCATTGCTCAAATTTAAAAGAATTATTTCCTTTCCATGACCCTGATTTAAGAAGTTTGGTCTGGCTTGATGCAACTTTCCAGGCGAAGACGTACCCTTCCATTTCTCAAGGACAAAAGGGTAGACATTTGGGGACAGCTCATGCAGAGACAAATCCCCAGGTTGAACCTCTCAGGGAGATGGGCAGCCATTGTGGCGTTCCATCGTTATGGCACACACGTCCCCCCTCCCCCTCCCAGATAGCTCTCCCATAAAAAGCCAGAAGGTGTGACCGTGGCAAGGGAAGGCACTTGGGCTAGCAGTGGGACTTGGAGAGTGAAAACAACCCTCTCAGAGCTCAAAGCACAGGCAAAGCCCTCCCTGCCCCCGTCTCTAAGGGCGAACGAACCCACATTAATGCAGCATTTAAGTGACAAGAGCACCTTTGCCACAGCTGGGTGGCTCCATCTTGCCCCAGGCAAGACTGTGGGACCCAATTAACATCCCTTTTCTCTCAGGCTCAGAGGCCTCTCTCACTCCGCTTTCCAGGGCAGGTTCCATGGGAATGACTTTGCTGTTTATACCCATAGCACGAATCTGGCCTAGAGGCAGCAGTGGCAGCCATCCATGGGCACAGGCCTTGTTTATGCTCTTTGATTATCTGTAGGAGAGCACAAGACCAATGATTCCCAGGTAAGGACCGGCTGCCCGACATGGCAGAGCAGCCTTGCTTTCCCCAGTGTTTTCTGATTTCTCTACCCTGTTCTGTGTTGGATCATGTCGATAAGAGAGGCTGTACAGAACTGGAAATACCATGCTATTCTAAAAAGCAAAGATAGCTCTGCTGGACATAAGCAAAAAGCTAGAATATATGTCAGGGTACTATCCTTATTAAGCCAAGTCGAGGTCACAAAAATGAGCACATTTAGAGAACTCCAGCTCTCTTCCTCAACCAAGATGTTACAAAAAGCAGGTATGCAATATACGCAAGCACATGGGAAACATGGGGAACTAAACTAATTGCATCAACATGTTGACAATGCCAAACAAACTGGCCCTCTTCTGAATCCTGAAGCAAGGACAGATCATGAGCGCAAGTGAAATGACCGTGTTAGTGCCACCTTTACACCCATTTCATTGCCGTCTGTGATTCATTTAGCAACACTTTTAAGTCTTGAATCGATTTAAATCCATCTTGCAGAGTCATCCATATTTACAGCAACTGAAGACGCTGCACAGAGCTTGCTGCATCAAGGTGACAGTGCTCAGGTATGTGTATATCATCAAACCTAGAGGGGAGGGTTGCTCGGGAAAACATCAGAGCAAGGGAGGCTGTAACTTTAGATATGTTTATTTACCAGTAAGTGTAAGAAACCTTTACCACATGACACTTGGTGCTCTTGCCACAGCAGTGGCTGAACTACCGACCCTGAAGAGTTTGCAAAACACTGGTGTTATACTCTTGACATCCTAGCTGTGGGTGATACTGCTTCTCCTGGAAATGCCCCATTAATAGTGCTTAATCTATCTTGTCACACCAAAGCAGGGAAAATCTTGCGAGGGGTAGGGAAAGAGCCCAAGGACCCCAAACACAGCTCTGTGTCACCTGCTGTTTTTGTTCTAAAAAGAGAAGGCTGTAACAAGGAGGATAATTTATATGGGGTGTGTGCCCTTGTTTTGGCAGGTAGTTGATTTTGGTAGGACATCTCTCCCAAAGGGGTTTGCAACACAAGGCTTAAATCAGCTTTATATCCGTTTGTAGGGTGGTCCTGGGTCCTACTTTACAAAGGACAATCCTCTACTGGAAACTGGCATTTGAAGTGCTGTCTAGACCAGGTCCAGTTCAAAGGTAATCCTAGGAAGGAAGAGCAGGGACCTGGAAGTTGCCCCTAAGGATTTGGTCCCTGGAAAGCGCACAGGTTACCCTGTCACAGTCTTCCCAACTGTGGTGAAATATCTTGTGTTTTTTAAATACTAGTCATACCCCATCCCCAAATTGATACACGCACCCTTTATTATTAACTTGTTAACCAAGGAGTGTTTCTAAGCATGCTTAGGTAGAAACAATGGAGGACTATCCAGGAGAAAAATACTTTATGTAAAAATAGCTGCATTTAATGTCATGGTGCACAACTTAGATATTTTTGTGGAACTAATGCATGTTAACTCATAAATCACAGGGAAGGATATTTTTTTACAGTTTAACTGTTGATCCTGTAGTTTCTCTCCATTACAACAGATCTCCATGAAACTGACTGCTAGCCCTTCACCCCCCCCCCTTCTCTTTCTCCCATATACAGCACTCTGTATCTTCTCTAACTGTCATCTGAGCACCTCATGCATGACAGAGCGTGGAACAAAAGCCACCATTTTCATTGGAGAAAGTGATTGAGTTTGATCCCCTAATCATGGAGATACAGGAGATATGAGGTGAGCCAAAGTTTATTTGTGAGTTCATTAATAAATTTACTGATTGAACTCTGTTTCAAACTTTCATATGTATAAGGAGCTAGGAACCAGCTTTAGTGCTGCCTCTACTTGCTGTCACTCACCCCTTTTTTTCCTACCTGTCATTCTCTGCAATCTTAGTTATCTCCCCTGCATGGATTCTCCATAACTTTCTTCTCCATTTGTGCATGAAAAGAGTAAGATTGAAAGGCAGTAAGAATGATTGCTGCCCGGACAACATTGGGTTGGGGCTGGGACTGGGATGGGGTCCTTCCCTTTCTGGGTGTTGTGTGAATGTAGGGTTGGGACTTGTTCTTGTTGGCAGCTTGTGTTAAAGCCTCAGCAGGGGATCCCAAGCCTTTTGAAGGGTGTTGCTCCCCAAGATTGCTTGGCATGGTGACCCACTGGAGAAGGGCAGTGCAGCAGTGAATCCTTTGCATCATCCCCAGGGGAGCACGCGGTGGTCAGAGGGCTGGCAGGCCCTGCAGCAGGTGTTGTGTTGGGGCAAAACTCTGGGGGATTTGGCTGGAGTGCAGAAAAGGGGGGGGGGCAGTTCCATGGATCACATGTTTGGAAGAATCTACATTGTGACCAAGTTGAGATGGGGGCTCCACTTGATTGCTAGAGCACCTGTTGATTTGAGAGAAATTTTACTGCAGGTTTTCTCTGGAGATAGGAAATAGTCAACCCAGACCTAAAGAAAGCTGCCAGTTGTTAACTCTATAGAGTTCTTAGTTCTATGGTCAGACCATGGGACTGAAAACAAAGGAAGGTGCTCTAGCAAAAACGTATCACCACTGTGTGAGTGCTAACAAAGCAGCACACACACACTGTTTCTGGGCATGTGCAAAGTGAAAGTGCCTTTAGGAGTTGGATTAGCTCTGCTCTCAGCCACAGGACAAGAGGATTCATCCAGGACAGGGTGAATCCATCTCCTGGGGCAGAGGCCAACCTAGACTAACACTAAATAAATAAATAAATATCTGGTGTCACAAACACAAAAAGTTTGTGCAAAAGGGTCATGGAGAAGGCTTCAGGACTTCTGAATAGAGGCAAGGGGATTCTTGAAGAAAGAGGGAGAATTTACAGTGTTCAAAGCTTACATTGCATTTAATGGTCATAGAGACCATCTGTGTAGAGAGATGGTTTTTTAAAAAACAAAAGACCCTTTAAATTCGCTTAACCAGGGGCTAGGAGCATAAGGTAGGCAAGCCTTCCAACACAGCAATGTGGTGGAGCATGCATCATGTTGTACCAGCTATGAGGAAAAGAAAAAAAGTTACAAGAAGACAAACTTTCCTCTCTGTCCAGACAGACTCTGTCTCACTTTGTTTCTGAGCAAGGGTTAAAATCCGTGTTTTGAACCCTAACACTGCAACTTGTCATTGTAATGTCAAGGCTGAATTTTAGATATGAGCGGGGGAAACTCTTAAGCATGGAAGGAGTCTTGTCATTCCATATGAAGTTCAGGTTTAGAGGGGTCTTTCTGTAAATGCATTAATTGTCTCGTAGTCATCTGTGCCTGTAGATGTGGTTAATTGTGTGGTTCAATTGCTTAAAAATGTCGATAAAATGAACCACATGATCAAATTGCCAAATCTGTAGCAGTTCCTATTTCAGAGGCTACTATTTTAACTTTGGTTAAGAAGAAATCAGTTTCCCTCAGTAATATTGCCAAATATTGATGATATACCCTAATCAAGGCCCAAGTTCAGAAAAAAGAACCCTGGAAGCTGAAGGGTGTGTATTGCACCAAATCCAGAGTTGGCAGAGACAGGACAGCCTGGTTTTGCCAAGGTCCTTTCCCCACACCTAGCCCATGCATATTATGGGATAGGGCAGGGAGATAAAAGCGTAAAGCTTGTTTGATGGTGCCAACGTTTGCTTGCAGCAGTCTAATTTGTATTGTTTTATGCCTAATTTGTCAGGCCTAGAACATACGCCAATATGTAAGGCAAAAAGAGCAAAGCACCTTCTCCTATGAATTCTTTCATGAACATAAATGTACAAGGGCTGGCTGTTTGAAGGATGTGTTGGTTAAAGTTTGCATGTTTTCAAGAAGAGTTAGGGCATGTGCATGGGCAAGTGCCATCACTGTAGACAAGAAATGGTTGTTAAACTTGATTCTCAAGTTTAGAATGCCATTGTCCATAAACTCAATCAGGGAGGTGCATTTTTCTTCAGACAAAGCAAGCAGCAGGTTTGTAGAGCACCCGAAATTCGGCAGAAGGTTCCATTGTCATTAGATATTATGGATGGGATTCCTGATCTTGTTACTTGTTACAAGTCTTGCTTCCCACATATGCCTTAGAAATACCAAGAGGCCTGTCCCTTACAGGTGCACTCTTACGTACACATGCTAATGGTTTACCTGTCCCAGAGGTTCCTTTTGTATTGTATTGTGTCCCTTTTGTTTTATTCTAACTTGCCTGTAGAATTCTTTGTAGTGATTCCCCACCTGATTCCCCCCACACACACGCTCCCCCAAACTGTGCATGTAACTGATAGGTCATACAGCATGGGTCCTCAGACTACGGCCCGGGGTCCAGACCTGGCCCGCCATGCCCATTTATCTGGCCCGCCCCCCTCGCGCCCACACCCACATCCACCGCCACCCACCTCAGCCCGCGTGAGGGGAGGCAGCGGTTTGCTTGCTCAGAGAAAACGGTCTCCAAGTAGGCGAGCCGCTGCCTCGTGCTCCCGCCTCGCGGCGCGTGCCCGCCCACACCTTGCCTCCTCTCGCTGCGCACACCTGCCGCGCATCCTGCACCCGGCTCAGCGCGCATGCCTGCATACACCACCCCTGCCCCCACGCCGGCCCACGCACCCCGCAGGCACCACCTTTCAGGCCCACGCCCAGCACTGGCAGCTTTCAGCTGGCCCCCTGGTGGAAAAGTTTGAGGACCCCTGTTAGAAAGGCATATTGCAGTAACTTCTCGTATTTCCTGAAAGTCTGAATAAACGGTAAATGTTCTTTTGATTCTATACCCGCAGCAGTCTCTCAAAAGTTGTTTAAGACTCTTGTCAAAGCGTTCTGCTGTGCCTTCTGGATGCCCACTTGTGGTGTTACTGAATATTTTTAAAACATGACCAGTGCTGCTTTCCTGAATATCTGCGCATCTCTCTGTCTCTGCACTCAGTGGCTGTGTTGGTACATCATGATAACCCACCCTGGCCATAAGCTACAATTGGTCCCTCTCCTCTTTCTCCTCCTGGTAGTACCCCAGGAAATTTTGAGGGAACAATGGTCATTCCCCCTCCCCCAGCTGTGATCACAGGTTACTCTGGGCTTGCCATATCACTTTTTTCTTTGGAAGAAAAGCTGGCTTTTGCGATCCCTGTTTTAACAAAAATGAGCAATCACCTCAAACCGCCTCAGTGGCACATTGGAGCAGCTGCATGTGGATGTCCAGCCTTAAATCAATGCAAAACAAATTCAGCCACATTTGCACAATTGCAAGGATGTGGAGCCTCACTCTTCAGGGGATGACCTAATGCCAAGGATCGGCAGATACCAACCATGGATATTACCCAGAAGAGGCCCAAATTTTCTCCCAGTCACCCAGCCACACACACACACACACACCATGGTTCACCTTGATAGCTATCAGAAGGGAATCTTTAAAGGTAAATCAAAGTCCCATATGTACTTACCTGCACCCTGAGGTAATCTTCAAGTGTCCTTCTCCAAATGAAGGGAGGTGATGAGCTGATGAGCTCCCCAAATAAGTATGCCTGACACTGACTCTATATTATTTTCAGTGTCAGGTGAAGACCTTTTTATTCTCCCAGCATTTTAATAGTTTAACATTTTAACTTCATTTTTAATATTGCATTTTATTCTATACTGCTATGTTTCTGTGCTGATTCAGTTGCAATTGCTATTGTGATTTTGTTTGCTTTAAGTTAATTTTATCGTATGTGTGTGTGTGTGTATGTTGTTTTATTTTAAACTTCTGTTAACTGCCCAGACAGCCTTGGCAGAAAATAAATGTCATATATACTTAAATTGTGGAATTTGCTAGCCCAAATGTGGTGATGGCCACCAACAAGGATGGCTTTGAAATCCACAGCTGGTAAGGCTACCCGAAGTGACGGCTATGTGCACATTACCTCCAGCACCACAGGCACAAGCTCTCCCAGGAGCAGTTGCTGTTGGAGCTCAACCAGAAAGTTAGAATTCATGGCCCACTCATGGGTTGTCTGAATGTGTCTGTCTGGCGGCTGTGGGGACAGAACACTGGACAGGCCTTTGGTCTAATCCAGCGGGGCTCATCTTATATTTCCTCCTCCTTTAGTCATTTTCCCCTAAACTTAACAGTTGAACATAGTATATGCTTCACATGGAAGGTGATCCAGCCCTTAATCACTTGGGTTGCCCTCGTCTGTACGTTTTTCAGTTCTATACTTACCTTTTTGAGATAGGACAAGTAGAACTATGCAGTGTGTTCCAAAGATAGCCACAGTCTAATTCCAGACATATTATTATGGTGTTGTTGTTGTTGTTGTTGTTGTTGTTGTACAATCTCACTCATATTTGGCATGGGTAGCAGAAGAATGCTGGGAGTTGCAGGACTTTTCTATCTAAGCATTCATAGGATTTTGCTCTTAGCGCGTCTTAGAATCGATGAACAGGAGAGTTGGAAGGGGCCAGAGGGCCATCAGGTCCAACTCAGTGCAGGACTCCCAGTTAAGCCATCCCTCTCAGATGGCTGTCCAGTTGCATCTTGAAAACTTCTAGTGTGGGAGAGCCACAACCTCCTTAGGAAATTGGTTCCATTCTCATACTGCTCTGTGCTAAAATATATGATTTTTTTTACAGGTTTGAGGCCGCAGTTTAAAATTAAAGTACTGTACAGCATCTCCAAGTTGCACTCCAGCATGACAGAAAAGCACCTCCTGCCACGTATACTCCTTTCCACAAGGACTGTGATGTCCTGGATCAGGACAAGAGCCTTGGACCACAGAATATCCTTTTACTCCCCCCCCCACACACACACACACACTTTTTTTTTTACTTAACACGTAGTCTTAATTTAGTGTCTCAACCCGTATCTCATGCCATTGTTCATGTATTTTGTTGTTAGCATATGTAAATCTTTTAATGCAAGCCACTAGGATGACTTGGTTAAAAGCAGGAGAAACATAATAATAAATGAAGTGACTTATATACACAATTTTTCACAAATTTAAGCTCAGTTGATGGATCGGACCAAGGGTACCTTGAAATATCCTAGGCATCTCTTAATGTCAGTGGCCTACCAGAGACTAGCTTGAGGTCCCACTCAGGCCCTCTAGGGCTCCTAAAATTGCTATGTCCCGTCCCCTGGCCATATCCCATTTACCATGGCAATCAACTGTTTGGTAGCTTCCGGACTTCTGCATGGTCCCACCCTTCATTTTGACAGGCTGAAGTACCTCTTCCAAGGCATTAGTAATAAGATCTTCAAGCTGAAATAGGAAGGTATGTCTGGTATTTGGCCCCCACCTGTTTTACCTTGGGCCACACCCCAGAATGAAATCCCATGTCTCTGCAGTAGAAATTGGCCCTTGGGCTGGAAGTGTTTCAACCCCCTGGTTTACAGAATGCAAATCCAAACTATTGCTTGCAGTACTCCCATAAAGCCCTACACTCCTATAACTCGGAGTCGCAGTACCTGACCCAATGCCTCTTCCGACTGCAAAGTACCCATGTACTCTGCTCAACACCTGAGGCTTTCCTCTGAATGCCATTTTCAAAGGAGGCTTTGCTGGCGGTAACAAGGACTCTGTGGTCACTCCCAAACTATGCATGATCTTGCCACGGAGGCCCACCTGGCACCAATTTTACTATCTTTTTGATGCTGGATTCATTTTTGCCAAGTCATTTTCCAATTCCAAATAGCACATGGGGATGGGAAGTATCACTGTTTGTTTGTCTGATTTTAGCAACAGTATGGAGTGGTTTTAGTGGTTTGTTAAAATGTGGTTTTAAAAATGTATTGGTATGTTTTTTTATTGCATTTTATTCTATTAACTGTTGTTGATGAACCAAAGGACTTCAGCTACTGAATTCTTATCACAGTCCTATAAAGTAGAACAACATTCATATTTTTAACAGTTCTATTGGTATGAACATTGTTATTTGTTCCTTGTTATTTAAGTTGTTGGAATTCAGTTTTAAAATTTGGTTTTAAATTTCTGTAATAAAGTTTTATTTTTTTTAATGTTTGTATTTTATACTGCATTATATTGTATGAGTTTTTGTAAATCTCTCTGAGAGCTTTGGCTATTGGGCAGTATAGAAATAAAATTGTCACTATTAATATCTCCATTCTGCACATATGGATAGGAACAGACTGGGAAAATAGTGGTTTTCCTAAGGCTAGCTTTAGTGAGTGCCCAGGTGTGTTGAAATTTGAAAGATGGATTTCCCAGTTCCCCTTCTTAACTCTCAGAGAGTATGTGGAAGCGCTGGAGGTGAGGTCACACAGACCGTGACTGTGTCATGTGAAGAGGAAACAGCACAAGCAGGTACCATGGGGACAAATCAGAGGTTGATTGCACTACTCTGCGCTTCTTTGGAAGCAGAATGCTGAAAGCAGTACTCTAGAAGGCCTGAAAGCTAAGCTTGGCGCAACAAGGAAAGAGAAAAATGCAGCTAAGAGGGATCTATTTTGCTTAGGAAATCCTGCCCTTTGCAGTGTATTGACACAGCCATAAGCTAAAACATCCCACCATTTATAATAAACACTCCTTGTTTGTGAAAGGCACTTGAAAGATGTTCCAGAAATTTCTAGTGGTGCAAAATGTGTCCAGTTGTAATGGTGGCCAGTGCATTTCTGCCAGGCCTCATTCAAGGTGCTATGATTGATAAATACAACTGTAAACTACTGGCACCCTGCAGTCATGTCAAACTACAACTTCCAGCATTCTCAGCCAGCAACCCCAAGCTGCACCCTAGGGAACCGGATTTGGTAACCTGTCCTAGTGATGCAAACTATGCAAGTTAGCCTCATTTTCTCTAATTCCACACATTTCATTCTGCAATGTTCATTGTGTACATTGCAAAACTACTAGCTTGGGATGCATGCCACCACCCCACCAGCAACTGCCAGTGGCTCCTTCAAGATACCCGTTGAGAACCCTTGTAAAGTTGGTGTAAATACCAGAGGCAAATGCTATTTTCTGAAAGTTGTTACCAAGTTCTTGCAGGGTCTAAGGACCCTCACCACTCTTGTCATAGGAAGAGAATTCAGCCTCCAAACGCGAGTGCAACAAGGTTTATTTTTGCTAGCCCCATAGCCCCCCCTTGTGGCTATGGCATGACATGTCGCTTGCTTGGCATTCAACAGCTTCAGTTTGGAGCTTCTTTCTTTTTTTCTTTCTCCTTTTCGAGACTAAGCAGTTCCTGATTTGCCTAAACTTTATTTTTAAATTGACCCGAATGCTCCCAAAAGACTAATCTCTTCTTCGACCTTTTAAAAATCTATTATTTCCTAGCATTTAGAAGCTCAAATGGGGATCCTCCCACTTGCCTGATTCGAGGGAACTGACTGTTCACACCATCCTTTCCCAGCCTGCAGATGGGCTGGACTAAAGCATCCATCCTGCCTAGCCAATATGGACAGCTGGAATGATGGCCAAGCTTGATGAGAGCTGTAGTCTTAACATGTCCAGGGGCACCAGTTTGGAGAAAGCTGTCCTAGATAGAAACAACGCAATCCATGGGAGACATGTTTAGTCAGAACCACTTGCATTCAAGGGGACTTAACACCCTATGAAATGTACCAAAAATGCAGCCAAAGCCTCCCTCTCTGGAAGAATAAGGAGCAGGTAGACTATGGGAGAAAGGAGGTGGCCACATACAAAGATGGACAGGATCTGGTACATTTTGCAGGACTTGTTCAAATGTGAAGCTGTGTATAAATACAGATGATAAATACATTTTTTAAGGCAGTAGAACAAATTTTAGTAGGTACAGAGATGAGAAAAGCTGTGTAAATGTTGAAATGTAAACTTTTTGTTTACTGCTCTTAGAGATGATGCTAATCTGCAACAAGAGAGCTTTTATTCAGGGTTCCTACCAGCTATTTATAGTCTCCTCTTGGATACAAAACTGCAGTTTTGATCCCAGAAGACATAGGCACTCTGATCAGTTGACAATGTCTGCTGACCATGTACAAAGTTCATTTCTGTCAATGAATGATTGTCTAAGGATATGTATATATTTTATCTTTCTGTGCATATAAAACACTTAAGAAATACTTCCATATACATAAAACATCTTAAACTCAATACAGTACTGTAATACAAGTTATGGAAGGCAATGCTAACTACTTGTGACCTGAACACACTGACTTGGTTATGCTCATGCCAACGAACAACAGAACGTTTTCATGAGCATAAAAAATTAGTTCCCATGTTTGTTACCATGAACCATTGGTCTTCAACTTAAAATTTTAAATCACTAGGCTTTATGGCAGCTCATTCATAACATGGATGTTCATAACCTGGGGACTGCCTGATGGGATCTAAGTGATCTAGCAGTGACTGAGCAAGAAAGAGCTCTTGGGGGAGTGATGACAGTTGAATTAAAACGTCGGCCCAGTGCTCCGCTGCTGTGAAGGAGGCAAACTCCATTCTAGGCATAATTAGGAATGGAACAGAAAATAGAACTGCTAAAATCTTACTTCCCAGATATGAATCTTTGGTGTGACTGCACTTGGAATATTGTAGTCAGTTCTGGTCACCTTACCCGAAAAAGGACATAATTGAGCTAGAAAAAGTACAGCGAAGGGCAATGAAATTCTCAGGGGGCTGGAGTAGCTCCTCTATGAGGAGTGTGTACAACAACTGGAGCTGTTCACCTTAGAAAAAAAGCAAGTAAGGGGAGACAGGATAGAGAGGTTTACCATTATACATGGTCTGGCTAAAGACCCTGCCTAATTTTAGAAGCTAAGCAGGGTTGGGCCTTGTTGAAATCTGGCTGGGTGACTTAAAATGTTGTGAACCACTCAGAGAGCTTCAGTTAGGGGCCATATAGAAATGTATTATTATTGTTATTGTTATTGCTATTGCTATATTTCCCTATCCCATAACACTCAAATCTAGGTTCATCCCATGAAGCTGATTAGTTGGAGGTTTAGGACAGATCAAAGGAAGTACTTCATCACACGTGTAGTTAAACTATGGAATTCATTGCCATGGGAAGCGGTGATGGCCCCCAGTCTGGATGGCTTAAAAAGAGACTGATCAGAGTCATGAGGGAGGCGGCGATCGGGCCGCCAGCCTTGCTGGCTGTGCACTGCTCCTTTGGCCGGGGTGCCATGCCTGCACGCACCAGCCGCTGAGGCACTTGGGCGGGAAGAGGTCTTGCACCCATCCCGCTTGTGGGATCCTGTGCGAAGTTGGTTTGCCACTGTCTGTCCGGTGTGCTGGACTAGCCGGACCGTTTGTCTGAGCCAGCATGGCTTTGCTTATGTTCTTGTGCTCTTAATCTGAACGTTGTGACCCAAATGAGCCATATTCTGCACATCACTGATTCTGCAGTTTTGACCACTTTGCATAATTTAGGCTGGTTTTGCTAGCTCGGAGGAGGAGCGGGATACTGAAGACCCACCTACAGCAGGATGTCAGTTTCCCCACTCCTCAGCACTTGCAGATGCTTGACAGGTTAGACTTTATGCATCTTCAGCAGAAGTCCCTGCTGTAGCCGCAATAGATTCTCTCTGTCGTCGTGCTTGTTAGCCGTTTCATGAAATGCAGAAATGTAATAGCTGAGCATCTCCCCACTCTATCCCAGTATGTTCAGCTGTAGCTCAAAAGGGCGACAGGCTCACCTGTTGCTTTTGGCCCATTGTGCATGTACTAAAAGCCATGGGAGTCCTGGCAGCAAGCCTATGGGTGCAGGGTCTTCCTACATGGCAATATATTAGGTCAACCTTTCCCCAACTTGCTTCCTTCCAGGAACATTGGACTGTATTTCCCAACATTCCTCACTAGCACATCTGCCTGGAGGATGCTGGGAGCTATAGTCCAACACATTTGAACAGAACCAACTTGGCAGAAGGGTGTTAGGATTTGGAATAGTCAACCAAGGTCACTTTGCTTTGTCCTGCTGTCATCATGGCTGGTGGAAGTGTGGACTGCTCTTTTGGACACAGATCCTGATCTGAGACGCTAAGACTTTCAAGTAAGTGTGAAACAGAACTGTTTCCTCCACTGCTAGAGCTGCCCGAATCTTTAGGTCCCCACAATACTAACAAGGCTGCCATCTTGTGGCTGCATAATGAACCTGCTTTTTCATGACAGACACACAGGCATAAGCACTGCTCCGAACTGAAAGAGGGTAGCCTTTTGCAGCATCTGTTTGGGTACCTGTGCAGAACTGATGACAAGGGAAGGCATGGCTGGGCACCTGCTGAACAGGAACAGTTCCCTACAGGAACAAGGAACTGCCCTCAGTTGGACTGTTGGCCCAACAAGCCCAGACATGTCACCTTGAATTGGCAGCAGCTTTCTGGCATTTCAGGCAGGGATCAGCCTGTAGGCCACCACTCAGCTATCCAGCAGGGACAAATAGAGCAGGGGCCCCCAGTCTTCTTGGACTCATGAGCACATCTGCAAATCTGAAGAAGCGCATGCTGCGGTCACCACCATGATTGCCCCCTCCCAATTGCCCTATGTGGCCTGTCACACAAGGGCTACCATGGGGGCCAGCTAGTCAAGAGAACTAGAGGTGTGTGTGCGGGAAACATAGAGGGAGGCCTGAGGCTAAGAGGGAGGGTGAAATATCAAGGCAACAGGGTAGAATGGAAACAAAGGGCAAGGCTAGAAGCTACAAAGGGGAGAGAAAGCTCATCCCAATATTTCATTTCTATGTTTTAATCTAAGGGGACTTGTCATTAACTTCATTTATTGTGCTGATTCAGTACAAAGTCCTATATAGGTGTCAGCAACCCTCCAAGCTATGAGGATTACAGGCATCCTATACCGAGCAGGAGAAACGTGGAGATGAAGGCCATTTCCACTTGTCTCCCATCCTGCAAAGCAGCCAATTTTGCTGTGTAGTGATAGCACTTTAAGGGGGAGGAAAGGAAGCTGAGGTACCACCAGGATGTCTCACATCTTGGCAGCACTGATTTCCTCCTCTCCCTTCTCGGCACTCCCTTTTGTGACCTTGGAGAAACAGCTGCTGTGATTTTATCAGTGCAGCCATGAGTGGGAAGGGCATTCCAAGTGCAGAGTCCCAGCTCTGATGTTGGAGCTGGGACTCTGAAAAGCTTGTAGCCTTCTAGACACTGCTATAGGGTTGTGCTGCCCATACCTTTGTTCTATGAATCCATTATCAGGTCCATATAACTAAGTGGTAACAAAGAAGAGGTGGAATCGACTTGCTATTTAAAATGAAGGCAAAGAATCAGATGGAGTTACTCAGTTCAGGCATGCTGATAACAATGCTCCATTCTCTTTCTTCCCAAGAAAGCAAAGTAACAGAGGGGGAAACGAGTTCACATCTGTCATCTCTATGGAAAACAGTAAAGACTATCCTTCAAATCTGTTACATATTTGGGAAGAGAGAGGAGGGAAGACACAATACATTAAAAGTAGTTTAATGTTATTCTCAGTCTCCTGATCCACCAATGTTTATCTCCAGCTTGAAAACAATTTAGAGAAAAACCATGTATTACAAACGTGTTTATTTTAAAAAGCAAGACACCTTTGTTAAGAAGTGGAGGCACAACAGTGCGGAACAACTATGGCCACAAGATTTAAATACAACATGGACATTTGGAAGTCCTGCCCTATGACAAGCTAATGAACTTCTTTGGGCATCAAGGGGGAAAAAGCAGTAAAACAGGTGGCAACACAGTCACTTTCAGTGGTACAAGATGAATTAGTAAATGGATTTTTAAAAAGCCCCGTATAAGGACATTTATAATTTGGTTAACACAGTAGGAAAATAAAAGATCTATACTTTTCCATAAAGCAAATCCTGCAAGTATTTTGATGGTGAGGAGGTGGAGGATCAGATGCCTCCCTAAGAGCAATTTCCCCAATCTGGTGCCCTCCAGATGGCGCACATTATAGCTCAATACATATGGAGGCCGCAACTGACCCACAGAAAAATATTCTTCCAGAAGTGAACTCAGTGGCATTACCCATTTTGGAAGGAACATGTCCTTTAAAAAAAGAGTGTAAAATGCATGGGGAAATTGAGGCTCTCTTAACAACTTCTCCTGGAGAAATAACTCAACACACATCAACAGCAGCAGTCGGCTGGTGCTTGGGACTCGTTCTAAGCACCAATAAGGTGTGCTCAGAAGGGTGCACAGTAGCTACCAGTCTTCCTAGGGAAAAAGTTCCTGAAAGGTGCTAGTAACTCTCCGGCATCTCCTCAAGCAGAGCAGCCTTCCCTGCATTCCTGGAATGAGTAGTGCTAATTACTTCCATTGGCCATCAGTCCCAGGCAAGGCAATACAAGAAAATACTTTTGTGATATTTAGCCGGAGAACAGCAACAAGGCATCACATGAAGAATTAAATCAGCAGCACCTGGCGGAAGGAAGGAAAGTCCAGTTTACCATATACATCAGGCACACTGGAGATGTAAGCTGCCCATCTGAAATGAGTCAGAGGGATTTACCTCCTCTCTAGGTTAAAAGGACAAACTACAGAACAGGCAATCAAACCAACTGGATTGGACCCCAGAGATACGGTTTCACCCCCAAAGGCGACTGTAACATCAGGGCAGGTAACCTGGTGCCCTCCAGATGGTTTGAACTGCAATTCCTATCACTCTGTCCAGTGGCTGGGAATGCTGGGATGGTGCAGTGCAAAACATCTGCAGTGCACTGGGGTTGCCTAGCCCTTGCTCAGACAGGACAAATGACTCACAGACGCAGTTTCTCCAGGCTTAGCACTGCAGTGGCCTGGATGGCCCTTCTCCTCCCCTTGCTCTCCAAGGCAGCAAGCCGGAGCTACGTGCAAGGAAGCAGTGGGATGCTCTGAACAGCCCTGCTGCGGGGAAGGGGCAGGGGCAAAGCAGTCACCATGGCAGAAGGCCTCCCTTCACTGGGCCGTTACTGGAAAAGGAAGCATCATATTGGGAACCCTCGGATTCATTGAACATGGTGCTATGAATGGATGGATACCTCCACAGGTCTAGGACAGCCTTCCACAAGCTGGATGGGCTAAAAATCCTGCAATCATTCGTTCTGAAAACCCAAGAATGGAATGGCGATTCTTTTGCAGGTGCTCTCTGGCCAGCTGAACCCATCGAGTACCTCTAGGGAAGCCGAGCTAAGACTTCTGTTGCTTCTTGGCTGGTTTGATAGGCGGCAGCTCTTCTTCCCCTTCTAAAGACTCATCGGCCTCACTAAAATCCTCCTCCTCGTCCTCCTCCTCATCATCTTCTGAAAGATCCTTTCTGTGAACTGGGAAACAGCCAGGACTGTTATTTCATAGTGAGATACAGACAATCCCTCCAGATCCCCTCTTCTTTGTCATTATGAGGCACCCTCACCTCCTGACTTCACGACAGTACAGGCAGCTCTAGGTAGCAGACTACCAACACACAGCAAAGTATCTCAACACAACATCCCTTGATCCCCTGCACTAAAGGATGAGTGTTTAGTCACAGAGCTGCCCCTGACGCACTGTCATGTCCTCCTTCCCACTTGGGTAATCACACTAATGACTAAAACATGCACAAACCACAGAAGGAATACACTATGGTGTAATGGAAGGTCGCACTTCAGATGCCAATGGCTGTACAGGTAGGCCACTTTATAAACATTAAAGAACGTGTCTTTTGGTGCATCCCTCCTTAAGAGCAAACAGTCAGTTCTTTGCATCCCTTAATTTCTGAAGGTATGACATTTTGCTCTCAAAAGCACCCCAAATCCCAGTCAGAATTTCTTACATATTTGGTGCTGTCCTGCAAGGTGGACAGGGCCAGATCCTGAACGTAGACGAAAGGTCACTGGAGGTTGGAACTCAAAATTGTCTAAACATAACTGTGGAAAGATAAAGAAAGAGAAATATCAGAGCAATTCTGATCAAGGTTTAGAAGGCTGGATTTGGCCTGTGGGTCTGAGATTCAGTAGCCACTATACACTGCCCGGTAGCCACCATACCCTCATCCATCCCCCCAGTAAATATCCAGTTCCAACAAACCCTTTTACCCAGGGCTGGCATGACAGCTTCAAGTTGGCTACTGGCACAACGATCTCCTTGTTCTGGTAGTCACGTCCTACAACCTCCACAATGTTGCATTCATCCTTGGCTGCTTCTGACAGGCAAACCTTGACAGTGGGAAGTGAAGGGACAAAGGAGCATAAAACAATTGTGGAACTACTCAGCAATGCTCAACTAGGAAGTAAAATGGTGTCCCAAGGCACCAATGTTGAGCCCCTTAAAGAAGCAAGTTGGGAGCATGCAGAAGAAAAGTGAACGATTGCCCAGTAAATGCAGTCTCCCCCAGTGCTACGCCTTCCAGATATTTTGATCCGTAACTCCCAACAGTATCAACAAATGGTCAAGAATGCTAGGAGTCATAGTCCAGAACACTTGGAGAGCATCAGCCTAGGTAAGACTAAAGTAAACAATAAAGGATCAGGCTCTCCCTCAAGGTCCCTTTATGGGGAGGGGGGAAATGGAACAAGAGTCTATTAGCCTAGGCTACCCAGGTTTCGGTTGGCATCCAACTAGCTCCTCCTTGCAGTGGGGCCACTTCCATCTATGGCAATTCACCCATGCCCAACCCGCCTATGCCCTCAAAATCTGCCTTTGGAGATTCTGCAGACCCTCTGTAGATGTAGGTACACAACAGGGAAGAGAAAGTCCCCTCTCATGGCACTCAGTTTCACCCTGTAGATTCACTAGCACCTTGTTCAAACTCACTGACCGATCCTCCTGTACGGAAGCCTTCTTCAGCCTGGCGCATTCCAGTTGTATTGGATCACATCTCCCAACTAGCTCACAGCATAGCTACCTTCTCAAAAGTTTGAGGAGCAAGATCCTATTTATTACTAACACGCTTCTACTTCTAGCCTCCTGGCAAGCTAGCTTAAAAAACAGACTTGGCAAAGGAGGGACACAGAAATCCACCTTTTCTCTGCCAATTCTCTGCATTTCCTTGCTGGCTGTGAAGAAAGAGGCATCCTTTCGCCACAGCTAGCACAAAGCAGCAGTCCACCTCTCCTGTCTCCTCTCATTTGCCTAAAAATAAGAGTTCTTAAATACAAAGCTGTGTTAAAGGACTTGGGTGCAAGTATCTTCTGAGAATGGGACCTCTCTTACCATATTCAGAGCTAGAAAGTGATCAGAGTCATCCTCTTCAGACACTTTAAAAGTGTAGGATCGGGCACTACCATTCAGCTCACATCCTGGGGGGAAAAGGAACCAATAAGTAAATAATGAAATCTGCAGGGCAGATTTCCGCAGAAAATGAACAACCTTCTTCTAACATTGACACTATATGACCCTCTTTATTCTTGCAGGAGAGCTTTGCACTCAATCTCAACATAGTCCCACCTGGTAGGAACCAAAAGGTAAAAGCCCTATAAAAATCCAGTGAGGTCAACAGCTGAAGGAAGGGCTGTGGTCAAAGAAAAAAAATCTTTAGCCCTGTTGGTAAAGATGGGTCACAGTAATGGAATATTCTTGTAGAGTCAGAGAAATTCAGGATCGGAGTGGTTTAGACTAACAGAGTTAAGTAGCCAAAGCTATTGACCAAAATCTGCCAGGGTTGTTTTTATGATTACATTATATTTCTATCCTGCTTCTTTTCCTTTTTTGAGGAAACCAAAGCAGAGTAAGTGCCTGGCTCAAAGTGAGTTTCATGGCCAAGTGGGAACTAGAACCTGCATCTCCCAAATCCCGGGTCCAACATTATAACTACTAGACCATACTAGTGCTCCAGTTTTTGACAGACTGAAGAGAAAATCCCACACATTTATAGCAAGGTATTAATACCAAACATACCAGAATTGCCTGTCATTTCTGTTTTGGATAACTCAGTTTGGGGACAGCTGCAGGATTTTAGCTTGGATTTCTAACAAAAAGCATGAATACCAGCACTACAGCCATGCCTTCCTATCTCCTACACAGAATCATTTTAGGAACATCAAGAAGGAACAGTACACAGTAGTAGTAATAGTAGGAGTAAAGCTAATCGGGAATACTAATAATAATCCAATTGTTTCATTTTGAGGAAAGGTGGGAGTTATAGAACTTTCCTATCTAAACTTGCAGAAAAGTATTTCCATAATGTGCTATGCCATGCTTCCAATAGGATGTATCTCTTGCTGTTTGATCCAATCGACTTTTAGAGTTCGGCTGTACCCAATGTGGTTCACAACCGAACTCATGGGTACAAGTCTCCCACTTCGCCACGTGTCTCCTTTGAACCAAATCCCCTCTTACAGTATGAAAGGCCCAATAAGCGTTGAGCAGAAAGTTCTCTGAGCCCGCCCATGCAACGAGCCAAGCCACGTGGAAGCATTAGAGCTTGGCCTCACATGCGGGACCGGGGTAGTTTGGAAGGCGCGGATGGCGCTGCGCGTTTTTCGGCGCTCCAGGCTTAGGGCCAGGAACCCAACATAAAAGCCCCGTTCAAGCAATGCCCTTCCAAGCCAGTTCTCCCCTCTTAATAGCAAATACCGTCGCACACCACAGAGTGCTCCCCCCCTCCCCGCGATCGCCTTACTTCCCAAACAGGAGCGGCGACCCCGACTAAGCCTTATTTGCAGAAGGCAAAATTCCAGCCTCTCCTTACCCACCGAATACGAAGCGGCTAGTGCATATCGACGGCTTAACCGCATCGACGAAGCTTTGCAGATTTAAGAAGGCAGCCATGCCTGCACAGAAAAGGCAAGCTAGAAGAGGAGGAAACAGGAAGCGGCCGTGCTTGCCACCCCTACCCGGCTTGGCTGGCCCGCCCCGACCGCAACGCCGATCGCTCCCCTATAGGAAGACCCCATCCGAGCTGGTGGGAGGAGACACCGGCGCACCTCCCATCAGGTAACGCGGAGGTTGCACTTGCCTTTGCAAATTCTGTTCTGGGAAATCCCTCTCTCAAAGGAATCCCTCGCAATTTCTTAAAAGACGACTTACGTCGCGTGCTTGCTCTTAAGGAAAAAGGGACTGTTTAAAGCATTGGCGATTCTGAAACGAAACGAATATTCAGCCGTGGAGTGGAGAGCAATCCGGGATGAAAGATTTCAGGAGTCGAGGAAATCTTCAGGATAGTTTTTCTGCCCGGTTCGCGCTGTAGCTCCGCTCTGTTGGCAAGGCGTGGGTGGGTGGCCTGTTCCAAAGGTTTGTCCTATGCGGGGGGCGGGGGGGGCGCAGTGCGCTGCAAGGTCTCTGCTTCAGTCCCAGGTATCTGGAGGAAGACCCAGCCTGAAACCAGGGGAAGGTGTGCGTCGGCTGACCGGACTTCTCCAACTTGATGCCTTCCAAATGTGCAGGATTACAACTCCCAGCATCATGAAGCTGATGGAAGCGATGAAAAGACTTGAAGGGCGGGTGTTTTGTCTTTTTGGTATAGAAACGGGTGAGATTACTTTATCCCAGGCTTCCCCGATGGGATGCTTTCCAGATGTGTTTATGTGGTTAATGAGCATTAACCACTAACCCATCTAGAACGCAGCAGGCTGAAGGCTGCAGTCACAGCTGAGCTTGGATAGGCCAGTGGTCGGACACCAGCTAAAGCAATGTTTTATTCAGTTTACTCCTAGAACTCAGGGTTTGCCCCATCCACAAACAAACAGCAACCTCAAGACAAGAACAATGCAATTTGGAAAATGACTCCATTGTTTTATTCTAATGAGGATCATGAGCGTATTCTTTGCTACTGAGTAATAATTTTGTTTTTCTTTTTCAAAATGACAAGGTGAAAAGTGAATACCCCTGGAAAGAATGGCTGTGGAAGGAGTGGTAAGAAGGTCAAGCAACTTCTGCTTTTTGAATTTGAAGGAAACAATAAAAGGAAGTTTAAGGGGGGGGGGTTGCCACTTAAACTTTTTTGCATTAGTAGGATTAGGCAGTTATGTGACATCGATGGAGACTCTATGAATGAAAGCCCTCCAAAATGTCCTCCTTCAACAGCCTTGCTCAACTCTTGTATTCAAAACTGTGGCTTTCTTCGTGGAATCAAGCTATCTCATATTTAGTAATCCTCTTCTTGTACTATTCCTTCTTCTGTCCTTGACTCTGCCAAGCATTATTTTCTTTCCTGGTTGAGTCTTGCCTTCTCATGATGTGCTCGAAGTAACCTGTTTTGGAATTTTGCTTCCAGGGCAGTTTCTGGCTTGATTTAATGTAGGGCCCACTAATTCATCTTTCTGTCAGTCCAGGGTATTTGTAAAGCTGTCCTTCAGCATTATGTTTCAAACACAGTGATTTTCTTCAGTGTCCACAAAGAAGCAGTGTAGCCTATAGCAAACCTCATCCTTCACTTCTTGTGTAGATTAACTACCACCCTGATACTGCAAACCATTATGAACTTTGGTTAGGAACTCCACCTGACAACATACATTGGAACGGTACAATGGATTCTGTGCATATTGGGGCATAAGAGGGAGTAATTTATCTGTTTTAAGCCACGTTTTTAATATTTGACCAACACTGTATCTGAGGAAGGTAGCTATGTATCTGAAAGCATCTGGTTAAAAGACAAGATGGTTATGGTTGTCAAATAGAGGATCTTTCAACCTAGAATACCAGTTTAATCTTCAGAGGGTAGCAGCAGGAATAGATGACAAGGGGTACTTCCTTTCCTAAATAAGTAAAACATATGCTGGTTGAGTTTCAGACTATGTATCCTAGCCAAAGACTGTGGGGCAATGCATACCCACACAGTAGTTGAAAATGGATAGTACGTTAACATCCTGGCTTATACCTTCTGTTAGTGATCCTGCCTTACTTGCAACCAACTTCCTGGGTAATCAAGGCCCCCTTCTCAGAATTAGGAACCTGAGGTAATGATTATTCACTCACCTTTCATAGCTCTGTGGGGAATATCAAGCAGCCTTGGTCGGCACATGGTTTTGAAAATGAGTGCTACTTACCACAAGTTCCCGTAGAGGCAAAGATGTTCTTCGGATGAATCTAGGCTTTGCTGTCTAGAACGGATTAACAACCAGTCAGAGCAGTGGTCTAGCTCATCACTTTTATCTGGAATTATCTGCCAAGTATCTAGAAAGCCACTTTTTGGAAAGGCCGGGCGATTTCCCAGCTGTGGGTGAAGGCAGGGGGTGAGTTTTTGAATGTCATATTTATAGTTGTTTATTCAGCGCAGTAAAAACAAAAGGGTTATTACAGTGGGATACTGATGGTGCTTTCCTGGCAGCTGGTTTCTGCTGTCAGATGTTAAAAGATGGAAAGGGAACTCACAAGTAGTGTGGATGGAGAAATCCCATAGAGAAACAGACATATTATTCCTTGCAGTAAGGCAGTTTCCTTCCTGTTCTGCGACAGAAAGAGTCCTAGTTCTGAAGCATTGTGTTTTTGCACTCCTAGTTGATCTGGCTATCATGCTTACCCCTCCCAATCTCCACTTGGGCTGGTACATTCCTTATACTTTGAATTTTATAGACCAATGTTAATATGGCGTTCCTTTAAGCGAGTGGTGATCTCCACAGCAAGCTGCTTTCTATGTCATGGGAGTCACAAACTGGTGATAATATAGAGATTAACCAAGAACAACTTGAGAAAGTTGTGCAATTTCCAGTATGGAAAAAATGAACAGTCAAATGAAGTTTAGGTCTGTGATTTAGCTATGTAAGGATATAACTAGAACTAAATTGCCTTTGAGGTTCTTCTTATTTATGTCCCATTCTCATCAATGTACTTGAACATCAGTTGCTGCAAGAACATCAAAATATTACATCAATATCACATTTTCCTTTTTTCACAGTTTTATTCCTTTTGTTAACCATAAAAATGCTTACAGATTGATCAGGGTAAACAAGAGAGCTCTAGCATTCAATATGAACTTACTCAGCACTGAGGTCTCTCATGGCCTTTTCAAGTCTTAGGCCATCATGGTTAGTTCATACATAAACTCATTCAACAAATTGTTCAATTTTCTTGGGTATGCTACAATTCCTAACATTTCCTGGACTGGGGAGATGCATGAAGAGATGGGGATTTTAGTGATCAGTATGGATGCTAGCCACAAGGCATTTGACTGGCTCCGGAAGGAGCAGATGCTCTTCCTCATCCAAGCTAAGTCCATCTACATAGTGTGTAATACCAATATAAAGATGCTATTGGGACTCAGCCATGCCAGGAGGAATTGCTGTTGCCAAGTCCCTTTTTCAGCACTGAGAATGTCAAAATGTGCGGAGTAACCAGTGGATGTGGTTGCACTTACTGATCTCCAGCCTGTGGTGCAATTTGCCCCCCCCCCCAAAAACCTCTCTTCCCACCCTTGCTTTTTGGATTCTAAGGGATCCAAGGCATTACAGCCATTATCTTGGGCTCAAATCACTGGGTTCTGAATTCTGCTGGGTCCAAAAGGTCCTGAAAGTCAACTGTCTTCATAAGGTACGCTACAAAGTTATTTCTACATAGTTCTGGAGAAATACTGAAAACCAGCACCACCACCTTGTTTTTGGCCAAAGGATCAGAAAGAATCTTGTACATACACTGTTACTTTCACCTACTTACTCCTTCCCCATACATTACGGTATCATGAATACCTTCCTCATCACAGCCAATGCTTGATATTGCAAAGATGGTGCAAAGCCTCATTTACAAGTCAAAAATTACTTATGTCTAAGCAAGCTGTATCAACTTGCCTGATTTAATTGTATTTCAGTTGCAAAATCTGGAGGGTTAGTGTGGAATTCTAGACAAGACACAGTAGTGACCACAAACTATGTCACAGTGGTCACAGTTATGACCACGACTACCACAAACTCTTGCTACCCATTCATTCAGTAGGAAGTTCTAATTATTTAAATTACTAGCCTTCAGCATAGTAGTTCCCCCAAGTATGCTAGTTAAAAGACCTTTATTAAATTAGCATGAATTGCAAATCTACTCAGAGCTGGAAAGAAAAGCTCCTGATGCCTATTATCAGGTACCCCACCACTCTCCTTTCTAGCCTTTCAAGTGAAGAATCTTCTCCTGTCCAGTTCTTGATATCTGGAATAATTATGCTACATCCAGTGAAGCCAATGCTCCTTTATTCTACTCTGAAAATTATCAGGAAGGATGCCACAGAGAACAGTGTTATATTACATTTCCAGGTCATTTCATTCAAGCAATATATGACTGTTTCCTACAGTTACTTATTCTGCAGGCCTCTAACAGGGGGATGGCCCTTCCCCATACACATTCTTTGGTGCACAAACCGAGCCAGATTCTCACAGAAAAGCCTGTTTTTCATTTTTGACCACATGCCACTAAAAAATACAATTTTTGCGCTGTTCAGTGAGGACTTGGGAGTATAATGAATTATTCCCCAAGGCTAGAAGAAAATTACTCACTTTTAAAGTAGATCATTATATCATTCCAGAACTTATTTTGGGTTTAAGTTACTTTCAAGTGTGAACCTTGGCTACTGATAGAATACTTACAGGTATACATAACAAGATATGTAGGCAACCTAGGCAAAGACAGCTGATATACTGCTACAGTAGTTTAGTCCCAATATCCATGCCTATTAAAAAGGGCAGCTGCAGTCCCCTTCAAAGTAAATCCCTGTGATCAAACTACCTCCTTCACCAGGACATAGTTATGGCACAAAAGATCAGAACTGTTGTTAGTCCACAATCCATCCACATCTGTCCAACCCCTTTTAAAATGCCTCTTCTCAATTTTCTCTAGTCTTGGTTGAGCAGCACCCTGGAATGCTTGTGCTGACTTTAGGTAGGACAGAGGGGGCAGCCACTAGTTGACTCCGCTTTCCCAAGGCTGAGCCAACCCTGGTCCCCTTCATATTGCTTCCTATCTAGAACTGTAGTACAGCAATAAGCCATGTGAAGAATTAAAACCTTGGACTTACCAAAAGGACACACTAGCCCCTAAGTTCCACATTAAGCACTTTAATAAAGGTAAGACTAGAAAGTAAAAATAGAATGAAAACTCAGGCGTACAGGAAGCAATAACAGTGCCACATTTTAAACAACTTTAGCAGTGATCTCTCATTTATATACAAAATAGTTCCTAATTTAAATGCTATGGGATTATTATATTGCATATCTATCCTGCCCTCCTCCTTCTTGCAAGGAACCCAAGTGGCTTTGAAAGTTTTGCAAAGATAGGAGGGGAGGAAGAGGAAGACAAGGAAGACAAGCACCCATCATCAACACCAAGGAAGGAGTGCATGTATCATTGGGATCAAACCTGAGAATTTGATGGCCGCACCACCTTCCCCTGCCAGATAGAATAATTAAGTTTTGCTGGGCAGCTTCCTGTCAGATGCTTGCTATGTGTGGAGTACATCCCTATGTAACAGGGAGCTAAGCCATCTGGCTGTACAAGCACTGGCTCTCAAAAGCAAAAGTCCCTACGATATTTTCTTCTTTGCAGTCTTGTCCACACGGTGTTCAGTTTTTGTGATGCAACAGGATTAGTGTAACAGTACAGCTAATGTGGTGGTGGTCATCATGTTGTGTACTGCATTTCAATAGCAAGAAGTGCTAACCTAAAAGATCACTTGAATCTCAGAGACCAACCGTATTCTGTCTCCCTTGACCACTTTTACCCATTTGTTAGTGTATACAAGAAAATTTGAGTACACTACCATTAACCTCATAACCCAGCATAAAATAAAATTCTAGAGAAAATCAGGGGAGATGGGGAATATAAAGTGAACAACCATGTCTATTTTTTAAAATGCCTGCTTCTTGTGGTTTCCAAGAGTTTGAAAATATATATTGTTAATGGAAAAAGCATTTAAAATACTTTCAAATCGACTTCAGGACACTACATAGTCTTTTGTTGCCTACTTACAGCCTTCAAAAATGCAGGGCATAATCCATCTTAATAAATACTGTGGCAAGAGCCCACTACTAGCTTCGCGAGATTAATTTATTTCTAAAAATGTTAGTTGTAACTTCTAATTACAACTTAAAATTAAGAGAACCACCCCAAATAAGCCTTCAGATCTATCCCACAATCCCTTTATGTTTAATATACTTACAAAACAGCACGCTTAGGATTAGGAGGAATGAACACTACTCAAGCTCAGAGTATTGATCTGCTATACTTGAGGCCAAGCAATGCATGTGTGCCTATTATGAACTACTCACATAATTAGTAGGCAGCATGAAAAATATTCTTCTCTAACCATTACTCTCATTCTGCAACAATACACAGAGACATTTTTACATTCATTTTGCAATTTATTCTATTTCTCACATGGTCTCCAAATACAATTATACACAGTCTGTTGTTCTGCTACAGATACAGTAGGTCTAAAGACAGTCATGAAAGTGGCATTCCAACTGTATGCAATGAAAAGTGATAACGATGAAAGCTGGGTTAAAGCATTGCTTTGTAGTCCCAGAACAAGGGACTGACCCAGACTTTCAAGGCTATCATACAAGTAACTTAAAACAGTGATAAGAGAATCTGTGTTAACAGTATAAAAATCAAAGCTATCCCCTCCCTCAAAATGTATAATGCCATAAATCCAGAGTTTTTTCCTGGTATCTGATGAAAACAAAACCAAGTGGCTAGATGCTTTGTATATATTCAAAGACAAAGGAAACTCATGAATGCCAGCTTGGAATTACACAAGATCTATCGTAACAGTTCAGTGACTCCCTCCCCAAGTGAAATGTATATGTTGCAGCTTAAATGCTTTGCTATTAAAACTGTTCACATAGTGAAAATCAAATACCTGTGAGTGTATCTATAACCAAGGCCAAACACCAGCTTCTCAGTAGAGGCTGCAAACTATTTGGCAGTAAATTGCCATTTGAAAGAGAAAAAAAGTATAAAGCTTCAGAATCTACATCGATGGAAAGGATTTAAAAAAGATCACCTCAATTTCTACCGTCCCTAAAAAGAAATATTTTCAAACTAAACAAAATAGTTGATTGTAGCAGGTGACAGAAATGAGGTGAGGTGTTAGCCAATTGCCTTGTGAGAACAATGCATTAAATGGAACAGTAATACCTCCTCCAATCTAATGCACCTACTTCTTATTACAACTACTAGCCATGCAGATTCCATTTGTAAGATTTCAGTGAAAACCTTAATATTTGGAACAGGCAATAATAATAGAAGTAGGTAAGTAAGTTGCACAAATGTGCTTATTTTTGTCCACAAAGAAGTCTCTAAAATGAACATGGCATGAAGATCTTGATTTACTCAGACTGAAGGACTTGGAAACGGGCCCTAAGTATTCCCTCTTTCATCCACCCAGGCTGGGTAGGCAACTGGCTGGCAGTAACAATCATCTCACTGGATCACCCTCTGACCAGCTTTTCCCCAGTAGGAGGCCATGTTGACTTTTTGCGAATTTATCCCCTAAATGACCTTTCTAAATCAGCACTCCTTTTTCTAAACCTACCTTTCTAATGAAGGGTATGAGGCATGGAAGAAAAGGCCTGTTGTGAAATTGGCTCTAGCCTCTCTTGTAATTCGACGTTATTCAAAAGTGCTGTCCCAGAGCTATACCACTTTGCTTTGGAAAGCAAAAGAATTACAAAACGATTAAACACAAAGTGTTAGCATACAGCGAGTTTATATATATTTACACACTGAAATTTACACTTCCGCACTGAGTGACTTTGCCACAGACAAATGCACAGTTTATCCCTACGAAGCACAAAGCTTAACCAATATTCTTTAGAGGTGATGGCCATTCATTTCCCTATAGTAAGTATGACAGCCAACAAAACCTAGAATTGTCCATGTCAGCCTTTCAGTAATTGACCAACACAGACACCCTGCTTTCCTCTGTTGAGATTTCACTTTCATCTCCTTCATCCACCTCATGACATATGGGAGAAGTATGTCATGGAGAAGACAGCCATTCTGTTGAGTACAGAGGTGGATGCATGGAACTGCCACCAGTACCTCTGGGAATTCATGCAAATCACTTCCCAAGGCTACATCGTACGCAGTATTCCTTGGCACTTCACTTAAGACCAGGAAATGAGGATGACCAGTATCCGTTTTCCAAACAGTGTATTGAGCAGCATCCCAGAGAGGGTAGTGGGTAAATTTTCTTGTAACTCCTGTCAGGCCAGCTGACTGCTGCCTTTGCACAGACAGACAATAAGATAAACCTCGGGCTCACCACTCTCCAATAGTTAGGTGACTACAGTATCAAAAGTTCACTGACAACCTCCTTACAAGCTTCTTCCAAGGATAACAACATCCTTTGGAAATCCCTCCATTTTAGCTATTTCGAAGCATCCCAGCTTACTGTAGAATTCCAGGATCCTTTTATCATCCGGCCTCACTTCACAGAAAGCCCCACGAGAGCCTGGAGAACAGGGAGACATTTGGGAAATAAATGGGGAAGCAGAAGGGTTACTGTAATAAAGCTGAAACTCTGCAAACACTGTTGGATTCTCTCACCAGTTGAAATCCCATTGACTCACAATATAAGTAATCAGACTAGCAATAGCTTTGTGTACCTCATCCTACTTCCTTGTATATGCCAACCTATCAAATCCCCACCCTCATTATGCTGAAGTCCTCCAGAAATTCAAGGAAAGCCAATGACCCCACACAGGCTGGGATTCAAAAAACATTTTAGGCATGCCCATAGGTTTTTAACAAATGGTCTCGAATTCAGGCTGCCATTGCAGTCTGCTCTGGAACCTTCCTGTGAGCTGACAGGGAAACTCAAAGCCTGCTTGGACACATGGAGGTAGCTCATTATTTTCTGGATCTCAACTACTGGAGAATTCACAAGCACTATTATTAGGCAATCGATACCAGCTGTTGAAAATGTATGATCAATACCATTATTAGGACCAAGCTTACACACAGTTTTGTGACGATTTTGGAGATTTTTTCCCCTCACAGAGTGATACATGACTGTCTAGGACAGTGGTGGCACACCTATGGCATGTGTGCCACAGTGGGCACGCTGAGCCCCCTCTATGGGCACGCGAGCCAAGTTGCCCCAGCAGCCAAGCATCCGATAACAGCGCACACAGGGGCCATGCGCATGCTCAGAAAGGAGTAGTGGTGCCAGGCGATGACGTCACAAGCCGCGACTCATTAGCCGCGACTCATCCGACCTTTCCCATGGCCGGACAGTGCACAGCCAAGGGTATTGGACTTGCTGTGAGATTTTTCTAAACTAAAACCTCAGTTTTCAGGTTTCATTGTAGTGTTGGCACTGTGCGATAAATAAGTTGGCTTTGGGTTGCAGTTTGGGCACTTGGTTTCTAAAAGGTTCGCCATCACTGGTCTAAGACTTGAAATGATGATGTAAATAACGAAAGTTGGCATGTCATTGCCCACATTTCACCCTGCCGTGTGCCACCCCCTGTACTCCCCCTGTACTCAAAACCCTCATATTTACTATTGTGTCTGTTCCTGTCAAGAATTATTTAGATATGCCAAAAGAGTAGCAACTGAACAATGACACAACATTAAGCCAACTGTGCTTGCAACCTGCAGTGATTTTGCTCTGTATTATTACAAATTAGAGAAATGTCAGTGCTGCTGAATGGGGGACAGGTGCAAATAAGCCTATCATAAAGGTCAATACTACCCATCATCTTAACATAAAACATTCTTCCTGCCTATTATACAAAATCCACTAAAAATTAAAATATCTACGTATGATCATTATCAAGCCTACATATAAATATCTAAGAATATTCTCAGCAGCTTCAAAGAAACTTCAGCAGCCAAAATCCCCTCTGACAAGTTGAAGGACAAGGGCAAGTTTAACAGATGGGTTCCCTTTAACAAGGAATTTCACAGCAAGGATATTACCATTGACCATTCTTTGGTAATCCCTTAAAAAACCCAGAGGCTGATGATGTAACTAAGCAGAGAAAGACACATCTTGAGGCCTTGAAGAGAGGCACACACAGTGAAATCTGTGTCTGTGCACTGGCAGAATGGCATCACCTGGAAGAACAGGTCCCCATGCAGCCCCACCCTTCCAAAGTCACTCAAGAGCTTTGGGGTACCCTTGGGAGAAGATTTCAGGGTGCAGAGGAGGAAGGAATGGGAAGCATCCATTGTGTGGGCACACATCTGCTCACACAGCATTGGGTATGTTCTTCAAAATGATGGCGACAGCAACCATGTAGGGAGCCTAGCTGTGAAATACTGGGCCAGGCGCTATTTCTGAACACTCTTTCAAGGCAACTGCACAGAGTGCATTGTAACAATCAAATGATGAATATTCTGGTTCTGCATTGCAAATATAACATGTCTACTTTGTAGGAAGGTAAAGAAACAGGAATAGCTTTGCACATCCCTGATTATTCAAGTTCCCATCTATGTTAAAGGATAACATGAACTCCTCAAAGCCATAAACTTTCCAACAGCTTATGACTGTGGTGAGTTGTTGTAGGTGCCTTAATACCCCAGTAGCTAAAACAGTCAGTGACACGTGCTTACCATTTGCCTTGAGAGAGGACAGTAGGCAGGCCATCATGCTTTTCGCCACACTTGGATCAGTCACTTTTTTATGAATATCAATCTTTATCAGTGATGGGAAGTTGGCAAGGAATGTTTCTGGAAGAACTTCTTGCTCTTCATGGAAGCTCAGCATGATTTTCTGTAATATACACAATAGGAATGGTCTTTCAACACCAAAAACTGTTCAGTGAGCTATGCTGGAAACATGGTATGCACTTTATGGACTTCTGATATCCTAGACTTCTACATTAATCCCCAAGCATCAAAGCTAACACAGCTAAATCCACTGGCTTTCAAGCAACCCCTTTCTTTATCCAAAATAGGACAAATATACAAATGTGAGATATTGTACCTATGTCAACTACCAATGGTGCAACTATCAGGACTTCCCATTTGAAAACTGCCATCTCTCTTATTGGTCTACCAGTACAATTTCTAGGCATGTTGCCACCACTGTTTACTTATCTCAATAACTTTTTGAAGCCACTTCAACTATTGGTATAAGAACTTACACCACTGGTATGTGTGCGCACATGTATGCACACAAAAATGACAGTCACTGACTGTCCTTGCACAACACAAAGCCACAGAGGCTTACCATGTCATCTGAACCCACAATACTTTTGTCAAGCTGGCTTAACTTTGGCTTATAAGCTACCATCACAAATCATGGCTTGTTTAAAGTGCCTGGTTGTGTTGTTTGAACCCAGACAAGGCAACCCATCATGACTTAAGCTAAATCCCTGCCGAGGTGCTTGGCAAGAGTGTCAAAATATCCTTGTACTCGTTCCAAGTGGCTACTGAATGACCACCATTTCCAGCCACCCCCAAAGTGGCCAAGAAGTATTAGAGAGCAGATGACAGGGACTTCTTCCCTCCCTGTTATGACTGCAAAAGCCTTGTTCCCCTTTCAGAGACTGCAAAAGTCAGCTGTTGAACCTCCTTTCATGATCCCCATTTTAATAACTATGCAAAATCTCTCCTGGTGGTGCTGACCATGGTTGCCCATCCTTTAAAATAACATTTTGGTCCCCCATGACACACACTAATATTTTCATCTATTTTTATTTTAATTTCTCCTGTCTAATCTGTGCAAATCCAGCATTCCAGAGTAATTCTGTTTATGCACACTGCAAAACTGGGATTTGGGATGTATGCCTGCTGCCCAAGTTCAGTAGTGCAGTGCCCACTTGAGCTGCAGGTGGGTTAGGGGTTAGGGTTAGGAAGCATCTGAAAGCTATCAAAAGGTAAACTGTCAAATGCTTCCAAATGGTGTTGGGAAGATATCAAGCAACCTCTCAGGGACATGCAAATCTACGAGTGGATTCCATATACACATATATTTTGGTAGGTATCAGACAGAACTTTTTAAAGTGGGATTTAGAGGTCTAAAGATATATGCACACTTTCCTGCCAAAATAATGGGAGAGGAGGTTTTAATCCTTTCTAAATTAAAAAAACAGAGTTCTGATTTCAATGGCTGTTAAAAGTACTGTTAAAAGTACTTATTCTCATATATGGGATCTCCGCAACTTTTGCAGGTTATGGTATTAGCCTCTTTGGGAAACTTGCAAAACTGAGTGCACTCCTGGGACACCTGAGCTCCTTGCTGTGAAAGGGGTGCTTGAGTCCCAAGTTTGAAAGCATGTAGCAGCTTATCTTCTGATAACTCTCAAAGTCTTCCAAAGGGGAAACTAATTGCAGCCACAGATGGGCATTGCATAGGGTGGGTACCTGCTAGACTTAGCCAGCAGGCACTTCCATACACAATACCCATCACCCGTTCCTGATGTATGCAAAAAAGTGTTACTCCAGAGTGCCAGATAAGCACAAATCAGGACACAGATATTTTAAAAATATTAACAATATTTGCACATACCATGGAGGAGAGATTTTTTTTTTTTTGGTTAAAAAGGGTGGGCAACCACAGGCACCTTGGTTGCCCTTGGAAGAACCCTGGAGGGACTACCTGTAGCTGCTTGATAGCAGCCCTTTATAATCCTTTGCCTCCCCCCTCCCCCCACCACCTTTTTTTAAATGGAAAAGGCCACAGCAAGCCAAAACAGCTCATGATTATGACAAGGACAACTTCGTGCTCTCACAGTGCCCCCTGGGATTCCTCAGGAGGCCCAAGGGAGCAGGGGGGCGGGCCCAGTTCCTATGCTGGGCCCAATCTTCTGCATGCTACACATGCTGCAGTGCTGCTTATTAATAATCCAACTACATTGTCCACTGGAAGTAACATTCTGTCATTTAGAATTATACATAATCATAAAATTGTGCCCATGACTATAACAATGGAAAGCTATCAGGTACAATTGTTCTATTCAAATTTTCTAAGGATGAAACTTCCTTCAACTCAAAGTTATTCAGATAATTATAGATAAGGGGTGTCTGGAGAAGAGCTGGTATTTGAAAAGGTCCAAGGCAAATTGTTCCCACTATTACCAGGAGACTAAAAACATGGAAAGGAAGCATGGCCATGTTTGTTTATTATAGTAACATCCTGCCTTTTTTCCTTTCAAGGAAGCTTACATAATTCTCCTTCTCTTCTCAATCTTATCCTCACAACAAGAATCCTGTGAGGTAGGCTGGGCTGAAGGTCTGTAAGTGGCCCAGTCTCCAAGTTAGCTCCATGGATGAATGGAAACTAGAAACCAGATCTCCTGAGTCCCAGTTCCACACTCTTATCCACTACACCACACTGTTATTTTTATTATATCCCATTTACCCACTATTTTTCATGGAGGAAGTGGAGACTAGAGACCAGATCTCCTTGTTCTCTAGTCCAACATTCTAACAACCATACCACAGATGTACAGCAGGCATACATGGATGACTAACCTCTGCCTCCGATAACTCCTTATCACTGCTTGGCTTGCTATACTTCTCCTGCATGAAAGGAATCCAGGCAATTTTGCATTTCTTAATGAAAGGAGTTACATCAACAGTGCCCAGGGCATAGCCACAGATGCCATCTTCATCTTCCAGGACAAAACAGTAATCTGGGCTAAGAGAAAGCAAGCCACCTACCAGCCTGAGGGGAAAAGAAAAGAAAGGTCAGTTGAGTCCAGAGTGACAGAAAGCAGAAATAATCAAAGTCACATTAGATTACAAATGTGATACAGTACACCTACTGAACTATTATTCCAGTGTAGTCTCATAATGAGATCAAGAAGTCATTAAGATATAACTAAAGCAATATACTATTGTGCACATTTAAGCAAAATGTTTGAGTCTAAGAGTGCTACTATGATTTAAGACTTATTAAATGCAATGGGTTGGGAAGTATGCAAAGCACAAAATGCCATCTGTGGGATTTTCTTCAAAAATACTTTAGATCTAATAAAGGAAAAAAGAACTGGCAAAGTCTGAAAGTAAAGTAGTAAGAAATGTGCAGGAAACAGAGAATGAATGGATGCCAGAAAATATAAAAAGATACAGCTATGATGGTTTGGGAAAGATTGTGCACATGTGGGTTTTGAGAAAAGTTGTGTAGGTAGAACTCTGGCAAATAGCAAGAAAGGCTGCTCCTAGCTGCAAAGGGGGGGGGGGGGTGGAAAATCAACATCTGAACTTGTGCCTTAAATGGAATGTGAAGTAGAAAAGGAAGAGTAGCAGAAGGTTTTAAATGTAAACATTAGGTTGGTATGAGGAGCAGACAGGGACAAGTACAGAAGACTGGTACAATCACAGTAGAAGGAAAAGAGTATTTTGGTTGTAATGGATGTAATCAGTTCTGGATGGTTGTCTCACAAATGCAACACATGACAAAACATTGCAATTAAACCAAACAGAAAGGAAATAGATTAATTTATTTACTGAGTTTTTATCTTGCTTTTCAGACAACTGTCTCCCAAAGGAGCTCACATCAATAAAGAGTCCAGCCTCGCCATCCCATTACAAACTAAAATGAAAGAACACATAAGAGAAAGGCAGTAGGGAGGAAAGGAAGAACAAGGGGATCATTTTTTCCAAAAACAAAATGAGGTAGTGATCTATAAGTGGGCATTTCAGTGCACGTCAGTCAGACTCATGTTGCTTGCTTATACGAAAGGGGAGTTTCATTGGATAAAGGAAGTACACTTTTGAGCATGGCCATATGGGGAATCCCAGGATGCTCAGATTTGGCCACAAAACCTGACTTCCTTCTTTCTAACAGTGGAAAAGTTAGATTTGCACCACCTAGCAGGGGTGGGCAACTTGTGACCATCCACGTGTTTCAGCCCACAACTCCCATCATTCCTAGCTGATGAACTCCAATTAATAGCTGGAAAATGGGGGACTCATCCACTTGGCTAAAACATTTCTGTTGATCTGGTGCACAATAATAAGAAACTACCTGTGTGGTTTCTTGGCAGTACTGCATTGAGCTAGGTGAGTCAGAAAGGAAAGGCAGTATCTAGTATCCAGATAGTTTATAAATTCTTATTTCCAAACCCTGACATGCATTCAGCAACCAATTAGAATGCCTGCTAAATCCTGAAAGATTCCTGCTCATCTCAGAAGCTTGCCTGCTATCTTTCAAAGGGTGATGCATCCTGGCTTTATTGTGCTATAACCCTACGTGGTTGCCTGTTTGCTTCTGCTCCACAAGTTTCATGTCTATTCTCAAGTATTTGTTGAGAGTAGCCAACCATTAATGAAATCAGCAAAACTGCCAAACTTCTGGCTGAACATGGCAAAGTGCAAACCAGAAGCCTACATAATTATTATTAACTTGTGTTGCCAAGGCACTGTAGTTTCCTGCTTTTCCCAGATGCTTTGAATATTGCATTGACATTTCTGGGCAGCAAAAAATGATGTATCATTACTACAAAACAATACAGAATCAAATGCATGTAAGATTTTCTCAAGAGTATACATACTTGTCACCAATTAGGTCAGGCTGACTATGAAAAGGCTGTTCAGTTCCATCATCATACATTTCTCTGCAGATTTTGTATACAGATGCCTAAGGAAATACACAAAAAAAGCATTATACACATTTGCACCACCAGCAAGCACAAACTTTGGAAGCCATGCTGCTCCACTAAAATGGGAATGGTAATTCTATAGTTAGATTCCATGGTCCCAAATAGGCTTATATTTGACAGGTACTACACTGAAAATGCAGGTTCTGTAAGGAAATTTCATTTCACTGGGTGGCCTTGGGAGACTATTACATTAATCTCATGATAGACTCCGGAGGTACTTAGACAAAAGTGGAGCACAAATATGTCAGATACATAAGTGTCTAAAAAAACAGATTCTGTTCAACTACTTTGTATGACATTTAGCTTTGCTCCCATTAGCATTTACAGCTATTTGTTGTAAATATATATTCTTGACTTCAGCAACAGAAAGAACATCCTTTTGTCTGGTAAATTTGAAGCCAAAATAAGATGCTTCAGGGAAAAGGGATGCATAAATTTAATAAAATCTATACCATATTTCTGCTGCTCTTTTAATTCAGGCCTCCCATTACAAAAATGAACTTTAATGCAGGATGTGTGTGGTGACCATGAAAAAAAGGTTTGAAAAAAAATAGTATGATATACAGCTCATCCCATGCATTTTTATTTAGATGCAATCCTATGCATGTGTAACTAGAAAAACAAAACAAAAAACAATTCCCTGCCAGCTATCCTGGGAGTTTAGGACTTTTTTCTGTCAGAACACATATAGGTATGCACTCTAAAGGAGTTTAACTTCAAATGTGTGGAAGTATTTCCCCAGATATAAAGTAGAGGCTGCAAATTCTCATATGAGATGGGAAGCATTATGGAGTAGTGTTCACTCTATAAATTAAGCATATTATAAAAATCCTTAATTCCATTAGAGGCTGCCTAAACCTGTTTAACTAAAGGTAATTAAGGCAGCTAACTGGACTAGAAGCACAATGCACTTCACATTTATATTCACTTCCACAAGTGGGTTCAGATAATTGCAAAAAGGAAGTAGGAAAAATCTATTCTAAGTGATTGCTGGGGCTACCAATGATTTGCAGTTAACCCAGAATGTGGCAACAACAGAAACTTTTCCCGTTTGAGTCATACTTCTTGCATACAATTAAGACATTCATCAAATAGACTTGAGAAAGTAAAAGGCAACACTTTTTTCAACCAATGTACTTTTTCAAACCTAAAGAACAGTGTACAAGAATGGTCAATGAATTTTGGTTACCTCATCTTTAGGAAAATAGGGCCTGATGGTGTAGACTTTAGAAGTAGGAGTCAGAGGAGGTGGCTGAAAAAAGAGGTCATTTGCTCCTTCAATAGGCAGCAAACGCTGTGAAAATAAAGAGTTAGCATGAGTGCTGGAGAAGCAAGATGCTATACATTCTTGGGCGTGCAATGCAGACTCCCAAGTTAACTTTTGCTACTGCAGGTACCCCAGAGGAAGGTACGGTTTTGCAGGCTTTACAAATGTAAGGACCATTTTGCCATTTTATCTGAATAGATGATTTAAGACACACAACTGTTATAGCACTTAATGGGGTTTACATTAAACTCATTTCTGCTTTAGCATGATTTCGCCAAATCTCATCTATGCTCTCAGCATAACATAGCCATGTCAGGAGGAAAGGTTTGGTCTGAAGAGGGTTAACTGGTCAGAGGAGACACTAACCCCAAAACAACGTGCTGACTCAATTGGCTGTGCGCAGAGAGCACCTGTGAGGGGGAAGAAAGTAAGCCCCTGAAAAATCCATGAGCAAATTCAAGCACAAAACAAACAAATGAACAAACAAGACTAATTGCCAATTGGGTTACCAGGAACATACACTACAAATTTTGTATTTTTGAAGAAGCCCAGAGTACGTAACATGAAGGTCTCTTTGTTCATGGAGTTCTCGTTGGCAGATAAGCAAGCGCGCATTGTGCAATTGCGGGCGCAGATAAAAACGCTGTGCGACCTGCAAAGAAACAATGTGAAATGTACAACTAAAGCCGCTGCGCTTCGCAGGCGCGTGGGAATGGCAGGATCTCCTTGGGATATTACTGTAGAAATGGGAGGAAAATTATTTAAAAACAAAGCTGTCAGGCTATTTGTGTTTTGGACCAGAAAGCCTTCGGCAGACCAAGCCTTCCAGCCCTCCGATGCGCAATAAACGTTTTCTCAAACAAAGACAATGTTATTCAGTTGTGAATTCATATTGATACCTGGAACTCTCCTGCTAGACCACCTCTAAAGGCCCAGGGTTCTTGGTCTCCACTTAAGAACTGTGCTGAAGATTGACTACGACACCCTGTGGAGATCAGATCCAAGCGGAGAACGTTACGAGAAGGGGGATTTGTCCTGAGATACTAAAATGTCCAACAAGCTAACACACACTTGGTGGGAAAAGTTCTCTAACTGTGCTATGATCCAAGAACTTGCAGGGCTGCAATAATGTTGCAGGATTGGTAAAGATTCCTATTTATTAGGTGCTTGTGCCCTTTATCAATAAAACTAAAAAAATGCTAAAGAATGTTAGTGAGCAGACAATTCAGTATGTTAAAAGTTGCCAGTATGTCCTGTTCCACACATGTACGTGAGAGATACAAAGATAGACAGTCCTTTTTTTAATACACTAAGAATACTTAGAAGTTCTGTGGAACAAGGAAACAGCTGCTCAGTTCCATCTGTTACAGGATTACAGTAATCAGCCATTATTACAGCACCTTGAAAATACTTGGACCTGTCTGAAGTCACATTTTCATATTGTTTGAATCTTGCCAGAAAACTAGGTTTGGTATGGAATAAAATAGCCTAAGCAGCTATGTGAAACAGAGGCTCATATAAAAGATTAAAACCATCTCTGCCCATTTCCATGGCTCTGCTTATACAACAGCAATCACTGAACACAGTATACACTGTGTTACCAATAAAGGCAACAAGGGCCTGTTCCAGCATTTCCGTTCATCCGCCTCAACTGTATCAGAAATGCCACAATTCCTCACAGCCAGTCAGTACTGAAAAGGGCTTCAAAGCCCTCTGAAAAACATATTTAAGAACTGGGCTGTAATTATCATCACTGGCTCGGCTTCGGCAACAGTTATCTGCTCTCCGAGCAATAAATCCAATTAACATAACCAACCTCTTTGAGAGGATATGAGCAGGTGAGTAACTGATACGGGGATTAAATGACCTGCCTAGTCTTCTGATAAGATAAGCTGCGCAAGTTTGTTTCTTCTTGTGAACAGCGACCTACTTCCTGTTCAAGTAACAATCTCAGATCAGTACAGTCAGATGTGCCATGCTAGCCAGGCAGTCTCAAAGCGAACCAAGCCGGATGTTGATGCTTTGCATCAAATTGTGAAAGCAAATCTTTTGATATAGCAAGTTTGAGATGACCCCAAACATGCAAGTTTGAGTTTCAACTGTTTCCATATTAGAGCCTCTCATGTAGAGAGACATTATGTATTTCATTTGTAACTTGGAGTACTTCTCCTTTGAGACTACATCGTAACTAGCACTCCAACTATTATACACTTTATAGAGCTGCATGAATGAAGAGCTGTATGAATGAAAATCAAGAGTTAATGCCTGAGTCGCTGCGCAAATGTGACTTCAGCCCATGCCTACTGTCCCTAATCTGAGCTGCCTCACAGACAGAACCTTCCCATCTTAAATTTATTAATCACGACACGCTGAGAGCATCTGGCGTGGTCCATCCAATAGCAGTAGACACTTGTGCTGAAGATTCTCCCATCTGCACACATTGGGGAAGAAGATAGTAGAAGGCATTAGTAATCCATAGCAGTATTATCCACACCAATTATAAACTGAATGCTAGCTGGATTGAAAGAAAGGGAAAGGAGATCAGCCTTCAGTGGACCACCAGACTCATCAGCATTCTATGGCTAGACCATCCTGATTTACTTTTAAACCTATGCACATCAAATGATATGCAAGTTTTATCACTATATAATTAAGACTGTCAACTAATGATCATGGTCCCAGCCATTAATGACAGAATCTCAGCTAGCAGATCTTAGGAGAGATACTGAGGTGAATGTATCAAATGGAATTTAAAAATGCTCTGTACTTTTTAGCTGTGTCAAAGGGGTCCCAGGTATCCCATGAGAGCCACAAACAGCAGTCTGCTCAGAAAACTGTCAACCTCAGGCTAGGACATCAAAAGATTAGTCTTTAACAAACTCAGCAGCCATGCTAAGCATCTCTCTTAATCATAATACACAACATTTATATTTTATTGAGGATTATATTAAGTGGCATATGCTGTGTTACCTTCCCTAGCACTTTCGGTATAAAATTAATAACTATCTTGGTTCCTATAGTTTTGAAAAGAGACAATACTGTTCAAAATCCTAAGGGCTATGGGCCAGGTCAATTCCTTGGGAGGGAGACCAGTAGGAGTCCCATGAAACAGCAGGATAACAGAAATCCTTAAAATCCGTATTTGTTCCATCAAGTGAAACAATCCCACTTGATTCTCCATACAGTGATGCAGTTAATTAATTTTAGATTCTGGATGTAATGCTTCCTTCTTCAGACAATATGTGTCACTTCACTTGCTTTAAGATGTGGTAAGCCAAGCATGCTGGGACTAGGGCCCTCCTGCTCATTCTGCTCAGTAGGCCTCTAGACATCCGTTCTTGAGCATGCCAGTGAGTCCATCTGAAAGGAGAGGAGTCATAGCTATATGCTTCTATGTCTATATTCCTAAGCTAACATGCTGCAAGCAGCACAGATTAACGTAGGTACAAGGGTAAGTCAGGGTGCCAAGAAACACCAGATTGCTAGAGGGGAAAAAGCAAAGTTTGAAAACAATATAATCACTTCCTCAAAGGTTTGTTAAACATTTAAACAACTTTTGTTCTAAGATCAAAACAGCTTTACAATTCAAATTAATAGCACATCAAGTTTAGAAAATCATATTGTTATTTAAATGTAGCCATAGCTGTTTTGTTTCTTTATCAAAATGCCTTGGGTCTAAAGTATTATAGAAAATTAATTTAGACTTCAGAAAATTCAAAGGAAGTCAGTTTGAGATTAATCAGAAATGTCTTCAGTCCCTTGTCTGAGCCCTTGCTATTTTTGCTCAAATTGGGCTCAAATCTAGCTGGTCTCATTGACGCCACTGATTATTTATTAGATGCTTCCATGTTGCCATCTTGGAACTAAGATAGAGGACTCTTACTTCTGCTAAGCACTGAATTCTGATTAACAAGGAAATACACATTCTGCACCAAGCTGGTGAGTTTAGCAACATCTCTGTTAATACAAATGGTTAAAAGTATTCCTAAATATGCCCTATGCTTCTCTGAGCTTTGAAATGTTGCTGTTCATGCCTTAGCAATGTTTAAGAAGTAGCTAGAAAGTGTTGGGATTCCAGGAATTAGAGGAATTCAACTATGTAACCAAAGTAATTACACCACTTAGTTATATCTCCTTTTCTGACTTTAAAATGTGAGGGGGCATCAGACAAAGACTGAGATACTTTTTTCTACTTCTGTTCTTTAAGTAACCAAAAAACTCACCAGCAGATCAGTCCTATCACAGTGCTAAATGACAGACTGTATTCTAAAGCCTAGATTTTGAATGATTTCCTTTCTTATCAGGGAAGAAATGCTTCCACTAACTTTCTCCTGCCAACTTTCTCCTACACCAAACCCTCACATTTTTCCTAGAACTTAAAAGTCTTCTGCTGAGTATTAACTAAATGCAATCTTGGCAGCTAACCCAAGTCTATTTATTTCAACATACATAATTAGCTATGACTAGATACAATTTAACATGACTTTAAGTGGTCCAGGAACTGTAGGCTGATCCAGACACTGAGGTTTATTAGGTTTGTGACAACTACAGAAATTGTGACAGGAAACCATCAGCTTTGCTGCCTGCTGTGTACATCAAGCAAGTCCACAGCATATTCCTTTACAGCTGGATTGAAACCTGAAAGTGAAATGAGGTCACTAGAGGAACCCAGGCCATGCTGGTGCTAGTCCAAAAAAACCACATAATTTTTAAAAAGGCTGCAGACCAAAAAACAAAAACAAAAACAAAAAAGCTCTTGATTTCTCTTCAGAGAACACCAGTCTGACATGAAAGCAGACTCCAGAGCTCTGGAATTTCTTACCCTTGCCCCAAATCAGGCATCTTGCAAATGTCAAAGCAAATCACTTTTGCACCAGAATAGCCTTATGCTAAAGCTCGCATGCGCAGAGAAAGGGCTAGGAGGCTCGGCTTCCTCTTGGCCAGGCCCACTGAAAGGTCACATCTGCAATTGTTCTGTTGAAGACAGCAATAACGTTATTGAGACAGAGCAAGCAGCAGATGACTGAGGTATAGTCACATTTCATAGTGTCATTTCCAATTCTGCAACAAGGCTGGGAATTGCTGCATATTATATAATCCAGTGTGCATTCAGTCCAAGTCAATACTCATGTTTCAGATATCTTTTAGATTCATTAGCCCAAGAAAAATGTTTCAATATGAACAGCTATTCACTGATTGGCCAACTGTTATGTTTATTGCCAGTCTTATAGTGAAGCATAAATAATGAAAAAAATAGAAGTAAGAAAAGAATCTAAGGTCAAATCAACCATAACATCAAAACATTTGGGTTTTTTTTCTGTGGGCTAATTAAACACAATCATATATGCTAGTTACCACTATAATTGGTTCCTAAAGAACATACCTAGCCACTGCACAAAAGATTTCACCATTGACATGATGCTCTTGATGTCCCAGACGTACGAATACATGTCATAGAGGATTGTTCGGTTGGCACAGTTGGAAAGACGAGTGAACATGCCCATCACCAAGCTACACATCTCTTCAAACTTGGTGGCTCGAGCACGCCATTCTTCAATCTAATGAATGAGATTTTTATTTATCCATCAAGCATTTATATCTCACTTTTCAAGGCGAAAGGTTTCATAAAGTGGCTAAAGATGAATATCAAATCCCACACTGTATTTTCCTTCAGGAAAGATTCAGAGAGGCTCAGTCTAGATTACAATCACCACACTATTCATCACTTCCACATCTATAGCCAGCATAATACAAAGCATGAAAATAATAGAAAACTCCTGAACACCAGCCTGCTCCCATACACAATCTACATAATACTCTGCAAGCTAGGCTCAGAGATTTCATGTGAAGTTGCCAGATAACTTTCCTTTGCTACTGCATTTTTTAATATAAATATACAGACACCTACCAATGAAAAATAAGAAATCACTCACCTTTTCAGAGTCCTTTCCTTTACAATTTACACTAACAACACTGCTATTGGCTCTGAGCCACTGGAACTCTCGTAACATTTGTGCCCCTTTGGGCCCATGTTCATATGGGAGGTAGAACAAATCTGCAAGTAACTGTAGATCTTCTAGAGTCACAGGTTCTGCTGCATACAAAGGCTTCTCATGGGGGCCAGGCACAAACTGTTCCTTGTTAGTTTGCTCATCTGTCTGCATTGGTGCAATGTCACTACCACAGTCATCCTGCATTAACATCTCCGGAGATTTTGATTCAGCAATGCTTTCTTTATCAGTATCCATTGGTTTTAACTCCTCTGACATTTTTGCTTCAGCAATATCAGTCAATATTTGATTTATATTCTTATCAGCATCCTCTTGCTTTTCTACCACCATGTCCATTGGTTCCTCATCTAATTGCTTCTTCTCCTCCTCCACTTTAACCAGAGCTTGAGACTCACTGCTCAGTGCAGTTCCTTGACTCATTATGGGCTCTTGGTACACTGTAGTAACCACAGTGGTTGAATTTAAAGAGGATGGTGCCACCAGAGGTACATCCACAACACTTGTTTTAGCCCCACTGTGGGCCACTTGCCTACCTGTAAACACAGAACAAACACACAGCTTTAGTTCTACTTGCTAAGTTTATTTCACAGAATCCTTTTTCTACATGCAAATAAGTTACATTCAAAAATATGCATTCCACAAAGTGCAAAATCATGCAAGTGTCTATTTTGTCTCAATCAGCCGTACTCTGGAAACACCTTATAAGACACTTGCACAAATTTCATGTTATATTTTTGCTAAACAGAGGCTTTGTAGGAACATGTGACATGTGTGAATCAGTACCCAGAATTGATCATGAGGTGCAAACTACACCTAAATTGCCTGCTAAGATGCAAGCTATGATGAGCAATAATGAAACATATTATTAAAGAAACTGGCTATCAATATAAGTCTATTTGGCAGAAGATACCAGGATATATTTCCACCCCTCTGCTTATTAGTATAAAGACTGACTTCTAAAATTATGTTCTGCCTTCATTTCAGCAGCACCAATTCCATATACTCAGTTTTCTTTGTAACAGAAACCCAAATGTAATTTTGAACAAACTAAAACAATATTTCCCATATATTAAGGAACCAAATCAGCAGTGACCCCTTGAAAAGGTTTGTTGGCAGTTTGTTCTGAAAGCTTGAAAACCACTTTTCATTTGAAGAACATTCTTTATTCACTCCAATGTTTCAGTTCTGACAAACCATAAATCTTACTCACTGCTGTACTGAAGAGGTACTGCAAATTCCTGTAGCCACTCTGTTAATGACAATTTCAAGGCCATCTGAGGGCTATAGAGAACATCTGTTTCAATATCTTCATCACTCCCTTCATTCTCCAGTTTAATCTGAATTGAAACTGTGCTGTCTTCAGTGTCAGCTACACAGAAAATTAAGGTAACAGTATATTAATTGGTAAGCCAAGTTGAAAATTGCCATATATTTGCATTCAAGGGCAAAATTTTTTGCTATCACCACATACTCCAGGGAAATAACATTCTGTAACTGGATTGCATAAATTAGGAACATTTCATACATTTATCCAAGTTCTGTGGTTTGGCCCAGCTAATGAAATGAAATTACTAGTGAATGGCTATACAACTCTATTGCAAAAGCTAACAGAGAATAAGGGTTGATAAGATCAACTGATCACAGACAAAACATACAATTGGTGTTTACACAAGATCAATTCTTGATCATATTAGTAATTTCACCTACAAATTGGTTAAAAATACTGCTGGACATCTAACAGTTTAGAAAAGTTTCCAAACTACATTTCAGTCTTCCAAGGCTCTGTTCTAATCAATTATCTGGTATTTCTGAGCCAGGATCCTACACCAAAATCTGAATCTATTTTGCTTTTTGGTTAGTCTTTTTACATTCTGTGTTATCCTTCCAATATCTTTGTTTTAAAGCTTCATCTATATTTTATGTATATTTTGCCATACTTGGGCAATTTTACACTTAGCAAGTTTTAAAATATATTTAGCTCTGACCCAACATCCTCTTTGACACCTGTTGCTCTGCTAGAACTAGCTTCTCCACTGCAAGTACTTTTGATATTACCACAGAACAAAGTCACTTTTCCTGAAGTAAGGTATTCGTCTTGAATTGAAATTTTCTGTATGCATTGTTTTACAAGCATTATCTGACCAACTTACTCATCACAACATCTTTCCTTACTCCATTCATATTAGATTTGTACCAGGTTGCCAGTGTATGAATTGCAACAAAATTGGCTTCAAATTCACAGTTTGGATTGGTCAGGACACCCTTTAAGCGTGGGATGAGTTCTGTTGATCGACCTTTATATGGCCCAAGAAACAGTCTTTTCTGATCATAGTCATTAGCATGAATGTTATCCCAGATGACTGGAGCTCTGCGAATTATCTTTGAAACTTCTTCAATAGACTCCACTGGAATGTCTTTAGATACCACTTTGGGACCTAAAATAGTTGGATAATAAAGTACTCAGAATGTGTTAACAGTATCTTCATAGTTTAGGATGATAATGTTTAACTAGCATACTAAAACATTTAATTAAAAGTCTGAATTTAGTTAGTGCTTTTGACTCAAATCCTGAGAAAAAGCAGAATATTCACCTGTCCATAGCACATCAATTCCAGGTAAAAGCTTCTCTCCCACAGTACGTAAATAAGGAGACTGAGCAACATTTGGATAGCAGAAAGTGCCACAGTATTCTACAATAGAACAATATGCATAAGTTGACACTCAAAAAATAATCAGAACATTTTTAGGCATGGATGAATTGAATTACTACAGCTGTCATTCACTCAAGTTGATGATACCTGTTGTGCTTGTGTAACACATGTGCAGAGTGCTGAATTGTGAGAGCTTGCCTTTCTCTAGACCTTTTCCCACAGAATGTAGCTGGGGGCCAGTTCTGCTCTCTCCCCTATGTGATGCACAGATTCTTACTTTTCTTCCTTCTGTAACTTTGAGGGGTTGGTTTTAACTAGATAGGCTCAATAAACTGCATTAATAGCAGTAGAGTTTTGCTCTTTGCAAGGAACATCTGGACTGCTGCAAGGTTAGAATGGAAGGTCATGTTCGCAAATCTAATTTTTCTACATCTCCACAGCATTTGTGGTTACATTTAAGCCCCTAACAGAGGCTTTGCATCTCCAGTAAACACTTTATTAAACTTCAAAACAATGTGAGAAAATTAAAGGCAGGATACAATCAGTGAGCACACTATTAGTTTAACAGTATAGCTGGACTCATTTTAATGTCACAAGTACTTTGGTGAGTCAAGTCTTTTACCCATCACGTATGAGCAAAAGAGAATATGAAGGAACTTAGGCCAAGAACATGTCATGAAGTATTAATTACATGTAGGAAAAATAGGAAAAATGATACTGACAAAATAGTCTATACTCTAATCCCACAACTATGACATTAAGGAATTTGCTTATTCCTATATAAGCAGTTCTCCTTAGAATATATTTACAGCAGTCTGCTTGTAAAACAAACAAACAAGCACAAAACCCCCACCCATATATTAAACGCATCCCCTTCTCTTTCTTTCTCTCTTGTACTTCAAGCATCTATTCCTCAAACAAACAAGTTCTCAACTGCAGTCAAAGAAAGGAAAATCGGCAATCATTGCAGAATCTAAGAAGGTTTCACCATCTGGATCACTGACCTATTTGTTAATTAAACAGTATCAGTTAATCAGTATTAACTGATTAAGTGTATTCCTCTTAATCAATTTTTACATCTTGGACAGTTCTGGAATCTTCTTGTCTGGATCCTTTTTCTGAAGAGATGGCATGAGGTTCTCTGCACATTAAAACAGACAAGGTACCTTCCAGAATTACAGCTGTTACTGATGTGGCATATAATGTCACATCAATTACATTTTAATCTATTTTATTATGCTAAATTGATGTTAGTGGGAAACTCAGATTTTAATGACAGCCTTGAAATTGATTTCCCCTTTGTTCAACTAGTGGTTGCCAATGACAAGATTTTGTTGTTCTCTGCTTTACATGCCAAATAAAACTTGCTTGCTATGGTGGAATGCCAGTACTTGCAAGAATAACGTTTATCAAACTCTGGGGCTATCCATGCTGTTTCTAGAGCTTCAGAGTCTCCTTTACTATTGGAACACTTATTGAGGCTGAACAGTCATATTGCCCCATTATCTATCTTTATAAATATTTCTTATTGGTAACAATTTTGCAGAGTCTTAAAAAGAGATGGAATATTTATTTCATTCATACACTGCCCAGTAGCTGAGGCTCTCTGAGCGGTTAGCAAAAGACAGAACAGGGAAGTATTTGCCCATGAAAGGGTTGCCACTTAAGCCTCACTGCCTGAAACATCTATGAAACTCTGGTTGGACCCCAGAAAATCTCTTTAGTAAGGATTTGTCTAAGTCAGCTAATTGCTGGAGGTATAACACAGCTTATGCTTCTTTTAAGCATGTTTTGGCAGTGCTCAATAGTTGTCTCTTTTGGGTAGAGGTCATCACATTAATAAACCTTGTGCTATAACTTGTTTAAATATTTACTGATATACATGCTATTATCTATCTTCCTCCTGGACGTTAATGCACTTTGAGCACAAATGGATTCTCTATGGTCTTTTGACAACACTGGGAATGTAAATGCTGAACTCCTAAAATGCAATATATTCAGGGTTGACCTTAGAACGTTTTCAACAACTGAAACAGTTATATATAGAAGCCACTTGTGAATGGCTATTTATACAGATACTTGCTCCTCTTTTGCTGACATTTATATGTAATTTGTGGAAAGCCATATCTCCAAGCAGACCTCCTCATATGTATATATTGCAATTGTTATAAACTATCCTGAGACAATATATTGCAATTGTTGTAAACTGTTCTTTACCGTCCTGGTAAAAGGACAGTATAGAAAAGTGTTTTTAAAAAAATCTATGCAGCTACAATTTTTCTATTTTCTTCTTTGTGTTGCTTCATTTTGTTACATTTTACAATAAAAATATAATTGGCTTTAAAACCCTATTTTATGTTTTGTGCATAAGAAAAATAAGAGGGAGAGACTGGCTGTGACATGCTGGCTCAGAAAATGTTTCCTGTATGACTTTGATTGTACAATAGGAAAGCATATTTCTACTTTCAGAAGGTAAAAATAGTAATGCTTCAACAGGAATTAGAAGGCTTTTCACTTCATTCCAATTAACATTTAGTAGCAATAATGCTTTCTTACCTGTGGGACAGAAAAGGAATGTTTCTGGCTCTCCAAGATACTGGTAGATTTCATTTGTGATTGAAATCTGGGCATGGGCAAAAGAGCTGAATACTTCTTTGTCCGCTGCACACATATTATGATCAATATCATCAAACAAGAGTGCAAATGATCTGCAACCAAACTGAGAAACCTGGCAGGGAGAGGAAAATGGAAAATAAAGGCTTACTGGAACTACATAATAAAAGTTTGTTCATAACTACATGACAGTATCTTGTCCAAAGTAACTCAAGAGATCAACTGCTTCGGCAGGCTATCCCTGTTCAACTAATGAATCATTATGTCTGAATAAATATGCATAGTTATTCCCTCCACATAAACTTCCACATTCATGGAAATTTATGTATAAAATAAACCTAGAGTATCCAATTGCTAAATATTATTTCTCAGTGTAAAATAAAATGACATGAAATAAATTTAGGAATGTGCATACGTGGGAAAGGGGAGCGTATGCACAAACATGCAAGAGAAAGAAAAAGGAAGGATAGTTGACAGGCCTTGTGAACTATTTTCAGAAAACAGCAGGGTGCTGGAATTGCATCTATATGTGTTAGTTATATGTCATGGGGGTGGGGGGACAGCGTCATTAAGTAAACCATGAGAAATGAGGGTGTCAAGAGGAGCCAGCTAGAGAGGTTTTCCACAGGAAGTCAGCACGGGGGGAACATGTTAGGTTGCTTGTTAAACAGCTTGGCCTTGTTCAAGCAGACGCACAGCACGTCATCTTAGAAGAACCATAGGATCCGGATAACTAGATCTACATCTGTGTAATAATGTACACAGGCAGGAGAAACAATTATACCTTTGTGTCAGGTTTTTTAATTAAAAATCAGAGGGACATTCCCCTATCCAGCCCTTGGAGTTTCTGATTTCAACAACTGGTATGTACATAAATGAAAGATACCTGGTCCAATTTGCGTTTCAACGTAGATACTTCCTTAGGGTTTGAGAAAGTAATATCCAGTCCAGGAGAGATGGCATAGATAAATTCTATTTCATACTCTTGAGCAGCTGCGATCAGAGTCATGAGCTGCTCTAGAAATCAAAGCCAACACATTTATCAAGGATCAACAATAAGAAAATAAATCCATTCTATCAATTTGCATGATTCACATTTCATTACATTGTTAATAATGCAACATTAATATAAATGTTATAATTTATATTAATATGTCATTAAAATTTACATTAAAATATTTATTTTATTTAAAATTTAATTAAAATATTTTGGAATATGCGCAGGCAGCATATATTTTTAAGTCTAAGAGGGAAGGAAACACGAAGAGTAAGTATTTCTTGTCAAAAGAATTCCAACCCTCTATGTGGTTTTGATATATACAGCTATTCTCACAACCGCACAGCATGCCAATAATCTTTTTTCTTTTTCAAACACAATGTAATAGTTCACAAATAGTACTAGTCTAGTGGTATCTGTACAGTTTCATTTAGAAGATCAAGGAGGATTGGCACAGGGTTATAAAATGATAAATACACTCTTTGCAAAAGGTTTAAGTGAGTATTTCTAAAATGAACATGACTACAAATTGGGAGAATATGCTTGCCTAATCATGTTTGCAAATTGCAGCTCCTCAGGTCACTTGTGGAAGAGCATAATTGCATATTCAATAGGGCTCTCAGATAAAATAAGGAATAAATGTAACCTGCCTGTTAATCCTATGCATGCTTGTGAGTATGGAAAAACCTTTTCTTTCAAATAAATATGAACAGAATGAAAAGGTAATGTATATTCGTTTGAACTAAAAGGATTCAATAGTTGGGTTGACCCAACAACCCACACTCAAAAGCTGAGTATTGGTTGTCACTGAACCATAGACTGCTATCTTGTGTCAATCCATCCATGCTAAGAAACCATGGTCTGTTAACTACAAACAACCTCTAAAGATAACCTATTTTTGTTGTTGGCTGGATTCATGCCATGACCCAGCTTGCATGATCAAAATAGTCCATGGTAATTTATTTAAGTCATAGTGAGCTGAAGCATATGCTGGCAAAATTTATATATTCACTAAAGGCCAAGAATAATGAGAACCCAGATGATGAAAGCTGCATGAGATTTAAATAACCCTCATATAACCTACAACAACCCTACAACAAGTCATAGGCTAGGTGAGGGTCTTTAACTCTTACATGACCCCCACTTGCCCAGGTTAGCAAAATACCAACAAGTAGGAGCTAGGCAGTGAATATATAAAATGTCCAAAGCTACCATGGCTTGAATTGGAAAACCCCTAGCTTATTGCTGGGTAGTGAACTCTGGATTGTTTATGGTTAATAAATTATGGTTTGGTTAGCATGGATGGGCTCACACAACACAACAAACCTCATTTATTCAAGAACAAGTGTTTTTAATGAAATTATTTTGTAAAGTATGAAATGAAAATGTTTTTAATCCACATGATTCTGAGCTGGTGCATGTAAAAATGCGGTTGCATAATTTACGTAGACCAATTTGCAAGAATGTGTTGTTCAATATTACACTGCTATAGTTAACTACATCCATACAATTACAACTGGATATGCACCCTGTGGTCTAGTATAAATGCAATGCTGCTACATAGTTTGCTCCGAAAAATCAAAGAACATGGGAAATATATGTGCAAACTGGGAAGAGTGCAGAGCATATGAACACATGGGTCATTGCTAGGATATCTGATAGTGGTATACCTGTAACAGGACTTTAAAGTCAAAAAGAAAGTCATCTGGAGCACAGAGGTACAATAGTTGCATTTACTCCACTCACCCACTTGGGAAACAATGTGGTGTTGAGATAGCTCTCCATATTTCCTTTCTCACTTGCATTACTCAGTTGATAGCTTCAGATCATAACTTTAGGACATATTTTGCAGCAACTTTCCTAAAACTACATAGGTCTGTGTCATGCCAGTGTCTGGATGGGGCCACATCCGGGAACTCTATGCATACTAACTTGAGTTCAGTGATGGAGCCAAGGTGAAGGGGGTTGTAAATAAACCTCATTTACTTTAATTCTATTGTTCATCTCTCCATACTGAGAAATTCCTCATGTTTACTGAATCATTACTTCAAAATACAGTATGGCTAGTTACCAGCTTCCTCCACAGAATACATTTCTCGCCAAAACATCCTGTGCTTGTAATCATCTTTTGGTGCATATAGGTATGTATTCAGTCCCCATTTTTGAAGTCTATAAAGTAAAAGCCAGAACAGAAAATTCATTAAGAGAACATTGTACAGTTTTAATTTGCTTTTCCTACACTTACATAACCAAGAGTACCTAAATAAGTTAAGAAACAAGACGTTTCTTTTCTAGATGATTCTTGACCATCTAGAAAAGCAAAGAATGCTTAACCTAGACAAATAATTATTAATAGAAAGATTGCATAATTATACAATCAAATTACTTAGAGTATGCCTAATATATTTAAAGTTGCTTACTTTTCATTTTTTTCTGTGCATGCCTACTTTCCATGTTCTTTCAGAATGTGTTAGACTCTACAACATATGTACATATAGGCATTTGGCTGGATTTAGAAGCAACCATCAGTTGATTCTTTTTTTAAAAAAACTGTCTCTTTTTTGAAGGGAACAAACATATTTTTCTAACAAGCAATCATGGGGGAATGCGAGAAGAGCAATGTGAGAAAACAATCACAATCCCCCTTTTTTTAAACCAGAGGCCAACATGAAATTCAGATATCTGAAACAAAATCACCCTGCTCTTTGCATAATCTGACCCCTGGAGTCTATTGTACAGAAGAGAATTGGACAGAAAGTCAGTATTACTGTGATTGCTATTATAAGAGTAACAGACAAATGCTGTGATCAATTTTCCTAACCTTTAAAAAAATAAAAGGGTTTTTTGGACAGCAGAAGTGGACTACGGATAGCTAGGAAGAAAGTAAAGGCAATGAGACAATTAACTTTGACTTTTGTAAAAATTAAAGAGACAATTCTTTATCAATATGCAAAAGTAGAAGAAGGGTTGTGCATATAATTCTGCAAATTCCACACTATTTTAAGAATCCCTATACAGTACTGTTTATTAGTTTATCAGACATGCTTACAAATTTAAGCAATACACATTAAAAACACAATTCAGTAAAGCACAACAAAGCAGGAAGAAACAACATCAGCAATTAAAATCAAGCAATGTCTTTTCTCAAAGGCTGACAATGTTTTCATCTGCCTTTGGAAGGCTAGCAAGAAGAAATCTCTCTACAAACACTTTGGAAGCAAGTCTCAAAACATCAGCATTGCAAGAATAAAGGCCTGTTCCTAATTGAAGGCTAACCTAGCCCCACAACACTTAAAATATGATTTGAAGCAGCCCTCATCAGAGGACCTACATGCTGGGAAGGGTCATACAGGTGGACATACTCCTTGAGAGTATCAAAAATATACTCCTTTAGTGCTTTTAATAACCAGCACCTTAAAACAGGCTCAGAAACAAACCACTGACCACAGCAAACCTTTCAAAATATACGATCTGCACTAATATTGGCTCATACTGCCTAAGGATTAATAGGACAGCTACCATATTTTGCAGAGCTTAAGTTTCCGAACAGACTTCAAAGAAAGTTCCACAAAGAACATATTAAAATAGACTAATCTGGAAGTGACAAAAACATGAATGACAGCAACTATAGCTCTACCTTCTAGGAGCGGACATAGCCAGTATTTAAGCTGGCCCTCCAGACCACTGTTGCTATCTGAAATCCCAGGAGCTTTGCCAAGTCCAGCAGTATCACCAGACTATAAACCTAATCTCTCAAGGGAAGCATGTGACTATACCCAGCACAGGCTTTTATAGACTGTTCTGGAAAATCAACCAGTCCAGTGACTTCCACTATGATAAACTCTACCTCATCTGAACTAAACTTTAGTTTATTCACCCTCCTCCAGTCCATCACGGATTGCAGGCATACATTCAAAGGTTTGCACTGCTTCACCTGGATCTGACAAAAAAAGAAAACAGAGATGGGTATCATCACCTTATTGATGACACCAAATCCCATAGTTCCTGATAATCTTTTGTAGCAGTTACATGTAGATGTTAAACAGAGCGGAAAACAATACTAAGCCCAGAGGAACCCCCATGCCAGACTACTCCCGCAGATAGGCACAGAAACACTTCCTGGAAACTTCTCCCCAGAGTATGTAATAAGTTAAAATAGCTGCATATTTTTGGACCACAGTGAAATGACATAAATCCTTAATACGAGGACTACCTATTAGTAGTGTTTAAAAAAGGCTGTAGAAACCTATTGGTTTTACTAGCACATGTTGCAATCCAAAGTTCTTTTATTACGCTGATCACTCAAGGTAGGATCTGCCCAATTTTGATGTTTTGAGGCTTTTGCCACACGTTTTTAACTACATGTCTTTACTTGTGCTTAATATTTTTTACAATATACAATTATGCAAATTATGCAATAGAATTAACATGATATCACATACCTTCTAAAAAGCTCTTTCCTTTGTTCCATAACCCAAGGCCTTCCATAAAATCCTGTGGGAAATATTGAAGGTAGATACAGTCAAATATTAGGTTTCCATTTAAAGAAATATTCAAATTGACTCTAAAGCCAAGCTTTAATAATTTGCAGGAATATATATCTGCTATTTCCAAACTTCCTCAGAATACTTTAATGTAATAGGAAGAAAGTATATTTATTTATGTATTTATTTATTTATTACGCATGAATTGCTGCTCTTTCCAGTGGTCACTTAAGGCAATACACACAACGAGATTAAAATAACATACAAATACACTAACAGGTTACTCACACAGCTGTTTCAAGGCTTTGTCTGCCCAGATAGATATATTTGACCTATCAGTCAAGAGGATAACATGCACACTAAACCACAAAAGCTATCCCAACCTCTACCAGGGTGGATAAAAAAATCAAGAAATGTGGACTTTTACACTTTAAATAATCACAAGCATAAATTTCTAATTCAAAAATAACATAGTTACTATGAAATTTCAGCACAAACATGCTAGCCCTACATTTACAGTCATATAAAAATGAAGTTATCTACTAAGGGCATTAATTCCCATTTTTATTCTCAAATTGACTCCATCCAGTCTAAGAGCTCTAGCTTTTTCAATGCTTTAGACCTTCAGTTTCTCACTAAGGTGATGTATGCAAAGATAATTGTTGTCTTGTGCATACAAGGCACTGGTGCTTGGTTAAGCAAGGCAGAAAGACAATATAGCAAGGGAGCGAAAAAATAATGCTTAAATTTTTTTTTAAACCCTGTTAGCTACAAAAAAAGGTTAACTGGATTTTTCCTGCTCAGTAACTACCACATCTTGCTTTTTCCCATTGCTCACTGCAGTTTATTTTCTTTGCTACTTTGCTTTTTGTGAAGGCAAGGGTGGGCAAGAGACACAAGTTACAAGATGGGCAGCCAACCATGGCAGGTTGTTGTGTCATCCAAACCCGGATCATCTTTTGTGGGGCAACTTATTTCTCGGGGATAAGCCACACAAGGAATCTACGACTTATTGTACAGTTGTTCTTGCTCATGATGTGTTGCCTAAGTTCAGAAAATGGTTTTATCATGAGTTGCCAACAGAACCACCATGTAAGAGGACCCCAAAAAACCTCACACTGCTGGCTTTTTGCAATCTTGCCAATGACTGCCTTTCCACTGATGCTGGAATGGCACTCTGAAAAGATTATCACTTGGTTCCCAGCTTTTAAAAAGAATTTTTCCATACCCCAAAAATGAATAACCATACTCATAATTGGGAAAAAAAAGTTGATCTTTCACAAATGCATAGTTACTACTATCCAATATAAGTACTGACTGTAAGAGGTTACCTGTTGTCTAATTTACACACAGTTCCAAAAGACCAAGAAAGAAGTCATAGTAAGAGAAAGAAAGGACCTGGCAGCACAAGTAAAAAGCATGGAAAATCGTGTGTGGGGGGAATAAATGCACCCAAAGTTGTGAGGAACAGCATCTTCCCCTTGGCCAATGTGATCCCAACAATTTTATTTTTTCTTAGTGTCTACCACATTCCAAACACTCTCCAGAATCTTCAGCTACTTCAAAAAGGGAAGATACTAATTGTTGTCCCATTTTTGAAGCACTTACTGTTGTGGTTATTGCTCCTCTGTGATAAGTTTTAAAAGGACTACACAAATTTGCACAAATGTAATAATTGGGAAGCGAACAGAAGAAAAATGCATAAGCTTGCTTTAACTGCTCCATTAGTACAAGTGCACCATTTCCACCCTTTCATATACTTTCCAGCCTTTAAATCTGCCTATATTTCTGCATGTTTTTGGAACTGTTAGGGGTTTAAAGTGACTACAGAAGTGCTTAAAACAGGTGCTGCAAAAAATGGGGACATTAGCATCTCCCTTTTCTGGAATGTTGAAAAGGTGAAGTGTTGAGTAAGTAATCAAGTGGATTACACATTTCTAATGGGAAGATATTTTCCCTCTTTTTATGCTTTTCCCCTTTTACCAGTGCTTTTCAATTTGGCAATTAGACCGGGGAAACTGAGTGCAAATTAGCATATACGTAGTCATACCTTGTAAATCTGCTTCCTACTCTTACCTTGTACAGTTAAAACAGACACTGAAATTAATGCAATCAACCCTATCCTCTAGCAATGATGATGCATCCAAGAGCATCCCAAGCTGTGAATGTTATCTTTCAGGGCAGATGGGACATTTATGGTCTTAGAGATGCTTTGGTCTGTATCTCCTACCATTCCTCACCACTAGTTAAACTGACTACGCCTGTTGACAGGAGGCCAAAACATTTTGAGGGCCTAAAGTTGCTCATCTCTGCTTTAACCAAAGAGTAAACTCCCTTTAGAACAGGTTGAACATATAAACCAACCACAATCACTAGCAGCATTCAGTGAATCTGCAATACAAATAAGATACACAAAAGAGATAAAGTTGTTTCTTTAAAGATATGCCTGAAGCTGTTCATAAAAATCAGTGAATTACAGGATGTTGTGGTTCCTAGAAATCAAAGCCTTTATAATAAGGAAAGTTCCTACTGGAGTGAATATCCCACTGAGGACTACTGCAATTCATTTATTTGGGCAGGGATCGTAATACATTTTGGATAGCATACCCATCTGAAAATCAATTTTAAAGATGAACAAGTCAGTTCTTTCTCTTGATGTGAATCCAGTATACCATCACAATGTGCAGGTTTCGTATGCTGTGTTGTGCCTTGTCATAGGTTAAATAACTTATGACAAGTCACAACTCCCATGGGCACAACACTGCATATCAATCCTTTGCTTCTGCGTTATTGTGTCATACAAAATAGGTAAGCAGGAGTTAAGTTACAACCCTCTAAACTCCAAAACAGACCATGGATTACACAAAGGTTGTTTAACTCTCACACAACCCATGCTTCTCTTGTTCCCATAGCATGACACCTGAATGGGGGTTGTATATTCAAAATGGCATCTATACATACCCCAGCCATACCCAGGGTTATGCAACCCATGGTGGGTGTTGGGCCACTAGTCCACCTTACTGACATCTTTCATTCCTGGAATCCACAGTGGCCCAACTCATATATAGTAATGCATCCAGCATGCAAGTCTGCACTACAACTCAAATAGTTCCCACAGACAAACTTATACATCATGTTATTCCAGGATTTTGGGGACAACAGCTCTCTCCCATCAAGTCTACCTCCATAATGCTCAGGTTTAAAAAGTTACTCCTCCCTTCTTCTCCAATCTTCCCCTGAAAGAGAGAAGAAAAAAGCTCCATAGCTTTGTTCTAAAGTTTGGCTGCTTCAGGGAAGTTTGTAGGAATACAAGAAGACATATTTAGGCAAATTATCTTCAAGGTGACACATCACTTTGCAACGCTATCTAACATGACAAGCAACCAGTGTACATCAAAACAATCCCCAATGGGAAATGACAGGCAGGATGACTGAAGTTAGGTGACCTGATCCTAGTGCCCTAGACATACTCATTACCCAGTCAAAAATGTGAAATTAGACGGTTTACTGGGATACTGTTATGTTCCAAATGCCTCTACACACATGCAGCTCCAGTGGCTGACTCCATGCTCACTCTAGGGTAAACAGTAGCACGCATTAAAAATGGACACTCAGAGAGGGAACATAATGTAGTAATGCATGATGGAGAGTATGATGCCATACTGCAGTTTTCAAGATGCATAATAATGTGTCTGCACAGCTATATATACACACAGAGAGAGACACATGAGATCTCGAAATAATGCAGAACTTGTGTCTAGATGAGACTGGGGAATTTCTAACTTGAAAAACAAATCACAGTTTCTGTTGAAGTAAGTTCACCTGTCAATAACTATAATAGTGCTGATTGTTACATGTTACTTCTTGCCTCGTCTATCATTAATTTCTTGGGAGAGGGTCCTCATGGTGCTTTACAGTATAAAGTTGATTAATTCACGCACATCTGGAAACATAACAGTGAATCTAACAGAGCCAAAGCATCTGTGTTCAACCTTCCTGCCACCATGGTTTTTCCTAACTTTACCTGACGATGGAAGGGACAAAAGAAGTAGGGTAGAACCTCATGATGGGGACAACATGTGCTGGGCCTCTACTGTGCTAGTCATAGCCACATTACAGGAGAACCCATGTAATACCACCTTACTTGAAGATGGAGTCTTACTACGTATGATGCTGCTGTGACAGCATGCTTGGACATAATGGAAACCCTTGCACAGCCTTTCCCATTCGCCATCACTGCTATGTAAGGTTGCTACGAACAGCTGTGGGAAGCAACAGCTGTGGAAAGAGTTGGCACTAAATCCAAACTTCAGGGAGTGGTGATTTGGGCTCAGTAAGTCATCATCTTAGCTTATAATATGCTTGGGAATTCTGAAGTGAGGATGTTCATTTTCAATCGCAAATTCCAAATCTGGCTCCTATCCTTGATACAGAATAACAGTGAAAATACCTTGCTTTTATGGTATATTATTTTTGATACTCCAGTGTAGTAGGGCATGCTACATTGCTCAATTATATGGAAAATTATTTATTATTCTGATCATTACTTTTACCCCATGCTTCTTTTGTCTGTTTATGAAACCAAAATTTCACAATTTTGCTTCACCATGGAGGTGTGCTGCTATCCTCTGGTGAACATGACAATGCCCAAGTTCTCTCTCTGCCTTGGAGCTGCTGAAATGGACAATGACTATCTTCATCAATGAATGGCAATTCCCTTCCTCTCTGTTGCTAACACTTATTTGGTCACTGCACAGGTCCAGAATAATTTGATAATACAGGATAAATTAATGATTTCTTTCCTGTTAAACTCTCATGGAACATTGAAACATAGAGGATAGGCAGTCTTGGGGGATTAAATGTATAGGTTGTATTTGTTTAAAATTCCCTTGGCAACTTTGTTCATTTTTCTCATTTTAGTTTGCTCTGCCTATTTTAGTTTGTTCTGTTTTATAGTCTCTTTTATGCATTTGTATATATTAAGAAAATAAACAAATAAATAAAAAGATAATACAGGAACAAACAACCCCAGCTGCCATTTTCTGCTACAAATCTGGATTTAGGGTAAGAAGATAGAAGAAATGCAGTGCAGGGTCAAGGACAAGAGGGACAGAATCCTAGCAACCATAATTGTTTAAATGAACACCAAGGGCAGCCAAAAACTGGAACTCTGTGCATAGTATAACTTAAAACTAATTTATAACACAAGCTTATGCATGTTTTTTCAAAAGTAAGTTATACGCATATCCCCAGCTCAGGATTGCAACCTTAAATATATAAATTATAAGAAAAGGAACTATGTTAACCAAAAAGTAACTGAGTGTTTTACCAATGTAAAGAAACTGGCAAATGGGAAGCTGTTATGCTTATCGCCAATAGCCCAAAGTATTAATCTAGTTTTAAAAATCACAAGCCTCTCATGCTAGCAAATAAGGTTTTGCCCCAGGTTAATCTCAGAACTGCATTCCAGCCTTGCTGTTTTAGTACAAGCACCAACATGACTGGTATGAACTATACTGCAGCTATAAAATATGAATACATGAAAGTGATTTGCAGATGAAATAAGCCATAGTTTCAACTATTTTTCTTATTAAAAGATACAATCCCTTTTCTCACAGCATTTGCTTCTCACCTGGCATCTTCTCTTCCCAGAAGAAGTTAACACAAAATGATTATTAGCATAGGTCAAGTGCAGGACCTCAGGCACAGGATACCAACAAATTTGGCCCTTCTGATGTTTCTCAGGAGGCCTCGCTCCTCTTCACCCCAGCACTGGCAGACTGTGAGCAATTTTTCTTTCATTCTAAAAGGATGCCTTACTAACTAGTCATAAGAGTTTTAAATTAAAATATGCTGATATCTCCACCACTGTTGCCTTTCATTTCATCTACCAATGGATTGTCCCTTCCCCCACAAAAGTTCTTCCAAAAGTTCAGGCCCTACCTGGGCACAAAAGCAAATGCTCTATACCAATACAGCAGAGAACAAACCCGATCTCCTAATTCAAACCCCATCAAGCCTCCTCACAGGAAAAAAAAAATGGAAAATTTGCCACAGAATTGGCCAATACTGGTTACCAGATAAGTAAGCAAAAAAATAACCCGTTCCAGATTTTGCATTATCTTCAATAGCTAACAATATTTACAAATTAATCCAGGTTAAATCTGGATGCACACATGTTCCCTGAGCAGCTTTGAACAAGACTGTATCATAAAGCCAAAGCACCAAGCACAAATACATCCTTACTAGATCATACAATCTAACCAAAAAAGCCTTTTTTAAGCCTGTAGAAATCTATCCTAACTAGACAGAAACAACACCAATCATAACATAACATAAGGACTCGGTATATGAAGGACCCCCAGTATATGGTTGATCATGGAACAGTAAAAGAGCCCTACATTATGTGCACTGAAAATGCTTAAGGTCGAAACAAAACAGCCATTAATTTTATTGACTATCTTTTTAAGTTAGTAAGATCAATAGCAATCATTCAAGCAACAAATAAACAATAAGTTATACAGGAAAAGCTTAGTCAAATGATTAGTCTTTAAAGGTGCCAGGGGACTCTCAGTCACTTTTCACTGTGAACATCAGTTCGATAACTTTGTTTTGTTCTTAGCACCTACACGAAAGGAAGAACAAACGGTGTGGTTCAGTAAGCGTGAAGTTAAAGTGAGATACGTTAGAAAGGAGAGCTCGGCCTTTTCTGCAGAAAAAGGTAAACCGCATTAGGCCTCCGCCTCCAGCTTTCATGGGCAGGGCGGAGCCTGACGGTACACAAAGAGCGAGCCGGGAAAAAAGGGTCGGCGGTAGCAACTGAGCAAAACAGAGAAGGCGATTCTTTATTCAGCTACAGCCGCCTTCCATGACTCAGTCCCCCCTCCGAAGTATTAAGACTAGAGCTACCAGCTTCCCAAAGCCAACTACTGGCGGATGCTGGGAGTTGTAGTCCAAAACATCTGGAGGGCCTTAAATCCGGGAAGGCTACAGCACCTCTTCCTTCTCGCTTTTACCTTAATTCCGACCTGCCCCGCACCCTTCCTGTTTCCAAGTTTCCTCCATTACCTTCTACGACGCCACACAGGAACCGTCGTGCACCTCCACTGCCTACAGTTCCAGCGCTGCTCCCGGGATCCGTTTCCGGGACCGTCGGGTCGTTTCTCGTGGGGGTCGACTCACTCGCAGGCACGGCGGAGGCCGGTCCAGGGCTTGGACTGGCCGTACCCTGAGAATCCCCCCGCGTTTCCTCGACCATCCCGGCCATGCCCGCTGCAGGACTCCCGTCAGCCGCCATCGCCCTTCCCTACTTTCTAACGGGGGAAGCTGCGCTTGCGCGGGGAAAACCAGCCCCAACCGGTCCGAGCCAGAACCAACCGCTTTGCTCGCCCAACCGGGGCCGCGGTTGCTGATCTTGTGCCGCTCCCTTCCCTTCCTTCCTTCCTTCCCTCCCTCCGCGTGCGAGCCAGCCACAAACCCCGAGCAAGAGCAAGCAGCCCAACAAAGCAACTGCTTGAAGGAATGGACTGAGCGACAAACAGTGAAGAGAAGGGGGAAGGGGACGGAAAACCCCTACTGCGCAGGCGTAAGGAACTAGCAGACGATTAACTGCGCATGTCTTTCCGGGCCGGAGGAGGAAGATGTGTTAATACGCACGCGCGAAATTGCAGCTGCCTCTTATTGCGCATGCGAACGGAGATAGCTCAGAACCATAGAATGTAGGAGCACGCGCAATTGGCATTCAGGGGTTGAAGTTGGGTTCTGCGCATGCGAGGAGGGAAAATAAACAAAATAGTGGGTGTTATGCGCAAGCGCAAAGCAAAAAACGGCGGCGCGGGGACTGTTCGTATGTATTTTCGCGCATGCGAAAGGAAGTTGCGGAGTTCTCGTCGGCTGACTTTCCGCCTTGTTGCACATATACGCATGCGGAGGAGGAGGAGCCTGGCTCCTGGGATTTTTGTGGCTTGACACACTTTTTCTTGGTTGCTGAGCAACGTTGGAGGCCTTTGTTGGCGGCTGAAGGTGCACCCTCCTGCTGTAACTGTGCTTTGGCAGCTACACTTTCTGCGGTGTATTTCAACAGCTATCTTGCACCAACCAGTGCAGTCTAGTGGTTACCATTAGCAGCTCGGCTTTGGAATATGGATAGCGGAGCTCAGCTTCTCCGAGTGAGGCAGGATGAAGCGTGCTTGATGATTTTGTCCCTGTCGGCCTATTCTGCATCACAGGGCTGCTTTGAGGATATAAACTGGACACTACAATCAAGTTCTGGGCCTGTCTCCGACTGCCACCTGCAAGGGAGGCTTGGATATTGGCGATAAGGAGATGGGCCTTTTCAGTGGTGGTCCTTCAGTTATGAAACGAGCTCCCCACTGAAGCCAACCTGGTACCAATTAAAAATTGTCCTCTACTGCAGGACATTCAAGTAGTTTACTGGGGCCTGCTAGCTGTTAAACAGGTCTTAAGATTTTTCTTTAAGCTATAATGTACGTTTTAAATTTTGCATTGTAAACTTGTTATGCTGTTTTATATGATACAACTTCTATTGTTATTTTTAATGTGTTGTTGTGAACTGCCCAGGGGGCTTCGGCTGTTGGGTGGTATAGAAGGACTGTCGTGTGTCTATGCCCCTTGAAGGGACAATGGGAGAAAAACTATATAGTGAAGAGTGAACGGGCTGTAGTTCAGTGGTAGGGACATACTTTGCATATATTGCCAGCATAATTTCCAGTCTCAGGATAGTTTGCCTAAATATATTTTGACTTATGAAACAACTTTTATTTCAAAACTGTTGGCCTCTTTGGCAGGGGAAAGGTATAGCCTGCTTTATCTGCTGCTGCATATCTTAAACTGCCAGTAGTATCTGCTGCTGCATATCTTAAACTATTATTGATGTATTTTCTACCAGTTTTCACTCCTTCTTCCTGCAGTCCTAATCCAGCTTTCCTTATGATATGTTTTGCATAAAGACTGAACAAACAGATAAAATACACCTTGCCTAATGGCTTTGCCCACAGAAAACCATTATGTTTCTCCATATTCTGTCTTAACAGTTGCTTCTTGTTCTTCATCCACATTACCCATCAGGACAATAAAGTGCTGAGACAGGCCCATTTCTTTCAGAACCATCTATAGCTTCGTGTGAGCTACACAGTGAAAGGCTTTGCTGTAGTCTATAAAGCACAGACTGATCTTCTGAATTATTTGGTGTGTTCCAGTAGCCAATGCAGGCTTGTAATATGATCTCAAGTGCCTCTTCCTTTTTGGAATCCACCTTGAACATCAGACATTTCTCTATATAGGGTAATATTCTTTGTTGCAACCCTTTGAACATCACTTAAACCTAATTTGCATTGCTGTAAACTCCCAAGCAGCTAATTCTGGACACAAAGCAAAGGTACTGGAAAAAATACCATGCTGCTACTTTTTTACACGTGGTCTGATAAGGTGGACAAATAGTTACAGCTGATCCCCTGGCATGTTAAGAAAGGACTGTAATAGTTGCAAATTTGCATACATTTACAAAATATGAAACAAATGTAATCCATTCCATTGGAAGAGAGAAACTACACTACTGCATGGGTGTTTTGGTGCTGTTGCCATTTTCAGAGGAAGATTGTGAGAACAGTTATGGTTAACAGTTCTACCTTCATTTATAGTGTTGTTAAGATGGTGTGGAAGAGCAGGGTTTCATTTGATGCCACATAATTATGGGTATAGCTGACTTCACAAAGCTATTGGACAGATATTTAAGAGTGGTTGGGAGGCTAATAATGCAGCACCTAACCTGCCCAGTCTAGCAGTATTGCTCTGACTGATTGCCTCCCCATCTGTTTTTGGATTGTCAGCATGTCCAGCAACGTTTAAGGAGGGTTTAGTTCATGTGGAATCTTGTAAAGCTGTCCAGAAAGTGCTGTGCTGCATTTTTGAAGAAAGGCTTCAGAATCCATTTGGCTCAGAGAGTCTGATGGCCCCATTCTGATAAATCAAGGTAGACATTTACTTTTTCCTCAGTGGAAAATTGCATATGTGAGGAACAAAAGAGAAGTGCATGCAACGCATTTTAATGGAGTGGCCTTTACCTCACTGTGAGGGGAATATGGGAAAGCAAACAGAAGCAAAATTGTGGTGTTGTGCATAGCCATTGTGGTTGCATTTTATTGTCATATCTGATCTTTGTTATTATACAAAATATACAGAGTTGAAAATGCAAAGCTGATAGCAGAGCTTGATGTTCCCTAGTGTAATAGGAGAGGGCTGCCTGGCTCCCACCTAGCGGCTGTAGTGAGAGCACAGGTAGAAAGATACAGCTGGCATATGGGCAAAGAAGGGAATAATAGATAGCATCTTGAATCGCCAAGTTTCCAAACTGAAGACAGCCCCTCCCACACTGGGATTGCTGTCAGACTGTGGAGTCATCAATAAACAGGATGAAAACATATTCAACAAAAGAACAGTTGCAAGAGATGGGTAAGGATACAAGTGTTGCAGAGTCAGAAATAAACTAAATGGAACCAATATGATAGGAACAAAGAAACTGTAACATCAAATGAAAAGATCATACCTTCCTACTTTAAGTTCATTACTTTTGTTTTCTGTACCCATAATTTCTAACATACATGATAGGAAATTCCCAGTTTTCCCATGAACACACATGAAAAGTATGGTGGTAGGCAAATTCACAGTCTTCTCATTCTGCTCACCATGACTGTAAGCATTTCAGGAGGATGGCCAGGTTAAAAGTGATGCTAAATATGCAACTTAAGACACACTTCTCAAATGCAGAATCCCCTGGGATGGGGAACTACCTCCTTAGAAAGGGGGATAGAAGCCCTTGTTTTAATATGAGGATGTCTAATCTGGATTGGTGGGATTGCTCATTGTGATGATGAAAACTACTTGGCATTTCTTCTCTGATCTCAACTCCTCAGGGTAGTTTCAGTGGCTCTATGCCTGTATCTGACCATAGAAACCAAGAAAGTGGAAAAGGTTATTGGCATTTCAGGGAAATGAATTTTCTACACATTTTGAAGGTCCGAAGTTCATTTTAACTAAAGGACCTCTGAGGAAAAGACTCTGCCAAAGATCTAGAGCAAGCAGACAATACTGGCCTAGACAGACAATTGTATAGCCTTATAACCTTAGCTTGAACTTGCTCTTAATCTGGCAGATGTAAGTATAAGTTATGCTTTGGCTGCTCCAGAGAACAGCCCAGAGATGGATGGCTAGCCTGCATCTGCAAGCAGGATAGCCTTGATTTTGAACCAACGAAAATTCCCAGTTCTGCTACAGCCTTGCTTCCTCTGTCTGTAATCAGGAATACCCTAAAATTGTTCTCCTTAAAGGAACAATTCAGAGTTCTTAGTGGTAGGGAGTCACCAATTTCTGCCAGAGTGTTCCAACACAAAGACCCATCAGGAAAAATTCAGGGCTGCTTTAAAGACACCTTGAAGTCATAGTCTTATAAGAGAAGCATTAACCTTGCATAGCAGTAAGGTAGCTACATGGCCTTGCTTGCTGACGGTCTTGGCAAAGGTGAAGAGCAGAAACTAGGGAAATCTTTTGTTGTGAACAGAACCTGGTTTTCTTGGGTGGAAGATAGGTATGTACAAGAGGACAGGAATATGTCTGCTTGTTTCATGGAAAAATCACATGTGGGAATAATGAATTTTGGGAGGATTAGAGAGGATGGAACCAATGAGCATTGTCTAGAGTGATGTGGAGAGAAGGAAAGGTATATACCAGTATAAAGGAATCTTTTAAAATGCTGCAAAAAGCCTCAAAACTGTGCAAATCTAAATAAACATACAGGATAGATGCAGAATTGCCCACAGTCTCAAGCTGTGACCCTTAACAGCACACATCTAGCATAAGGATCCTTGAATGCTGACATTGTGGATTGGCATGATGGGAAATGACAGTCTCAGGAGGGGAAGAACCACACCTGGGCTCTAGTGCACATGGAAGTCTATTTGCATAGCTAAGAAATCCTGAGCCAGCCAGTTCCAATTCTAACTTCAATCCAATCCTTCATGCACACACATTAGGAGTTTTTCCTGCATTATACTATTGACTTGCAGCCCCCAAAACACAGTTCCTAACTCCAGTAGGGCCTAAAAGGTTGCTCTACATTCCACAATGTAATGATTACTCAGTACTGAAACTATAGGCTGAGGCAAAGAGATCAAAAGATATCATGATTGATTGTTGGGATAAAAGGGACAATAATAGCTGAGGGAACCTCAGAGCTAGAATAAAGTAAGGTCTGTGAATAGCACTGAGGAGTATTGGAAGAACTAGCTTGTGTCTGCTAGGCAGGGCTAGGGACGAAGATCTTTAACATCTAGGCTTGCCTGTTGTCTAGCTGCTGCAGCCTCTAGCTTACACAGACTTACTGAGTACCATTTCCATATTTGTAAGGATACAACAGCCTTCCACAGCCTCATGCCCAGCAGATCTGTTGGACTACCACTCATAATCCTCATAATCCAACACAGCTGGAGGGCAGGACAATAGGAGAGGCTGAGATTCAGTAATCTCACATTTTGGCATTGTCTTTATATCAGCCTTACGCTTTGACTACATCAAAGCTGTCGCTTTCCTTCTTCCTTTCTTTTCATACTTTCTAACAAAATGCTTCTCTATGTGTTGGTCACAATTTATCTTCACTTACTGTAATCTCTTCATTGCTGACCTTCCTACAGAACAAAAATACATTCAGACTCTTCCTATCTCCACTCCGAATTGCATCTCTTCCTTTGCTGTTGCATATTTTCCATGCTGGCCCCTCCAGTTTCCACAACTGTAAGTTTCCTTCTCCACTTTGGTCATGCATTTTTGCCTCCATATGTCAGATAGCTTCCTTGTCTTCATTTAGGCCATTCCATGAGACCTACATTTTTCAGCAAAGCATTTCTTGAATTGATATTTCGTTCACGTACTTTTCTTTGGATCTGGCTTTTCCCTAATACACCCTCATTGCCCTCTTACTACATCCCCATCTTGTCCAGTTAGGATGGACTGGAAGCCCTCTGCACAGGGCCAGTGTTACTGCTCTGTTCTGTACAGAACCTGGCATTCCCTTGGAGTTCCATAAGCAGGCTCTGAAGCTGCTAGCTGCTCCTACAAGTTCCAAGGGCTTTTTGCCATGGGGATAGTAATAGAAAAAGTACAGCATCAGAGAGGGTTGGGCAGCTGCTAAAGGAAAGCCATTAGGCTCTTGAAAAGAACAGCAAAGTCTCCCAGCCACTCATATTCTTTCTGGGCCATATCTATTCCTCTTATACATTCACTCTTCCACTTCTACCATAGACATGTTCACAGCCCTTTATAGAACTTTCAATGCATTTAGCACAAGACATGTAGTTGAACCCTGCCCCGACTGATTCCATTCTGATCTAAATGCTTCCAGTGAGATGTTTTATCCACCTGTACCTCTCTGTCTCTATAGTTTCTTTGGGGGTGAGGGTATGGGAAACCTCTGACCCAGTTATCAGGCTAACTGCTCTTTTTCTCTCCCCAGCAATCCCAATATAAATTGCTCTTGATTTCTAAATGCAAACCAAAGGTTCCATAGCACTTGCCTCCCTTGAATGGCACTTTCTGTTGAGGGTGCAAAGGAAAGAATCCACAAAGCAAAATCCCACTTAACCCTCTTTTCCCTTGCTGCAACTGTTTTCCAAAGTTGCTAAGAATTAAATTGGATTTGGTGCCAAAACAGCAAGATGCTTTGACATTGGGAAAAGTCTCCATTGCTGGAAGCATTGGGGTGTTAGGACATGTGCACTGAAAGCCTTGGTGCAGATCAGATGGAGCCCCCTCACTGTAGGGAATGGGTAAGATTGTACATACACCAAATCCTTTGTGAGTTCTTCGCAACCAGGATTGCATTGCCATTTGTGGTGTGGAACCCTCTTGGAGCACCTGTGACAGGTTGGGGGGTTGCTGTGTTTTAGCAGGTCCTAAAGGGTGAGCACACTAATTAGTGACAAGACAGTGCAGTTTTCTGGGAGAGGCAGCAGATTGTTCTGTTTTGTCTTCAGTGCCCAGAAAAAATGCTTGCAAATGCTAGGCCAGTCCCCTTGCTGGGCCTTGGCCCAACCCAGTTGCAGCCTCCCGCTGGATTCCCACTGCAGGCACTTCCACCTCACTTGCATCTGAAATACATGAAGATTGTCTCCACAAAAGTTGCCTAGTCCGCTTTGGACAAGTGGCTGCTTTGTCCATGCAGCTAAGAGAAGAGTGCCTCAGAGGAGTACGCCAAGGAGAGAAGTCCTGGGGGTGTGTGTGTGAAGGTCTGGGCTCCAGGAGCAGCCAGCTAGATCACATTGTCAAAAAGCTTCATGGAATTCATGATGTTTTCATCCTGCCGGAGACAGAATAGCATCATAGTTTTTGTTGTGGGAGTGAGAATTAAGAAGTGCAGAGCTAAGGGGAAAATTAAGAAGAAATTCTAGAACTGTGTTACTGTGATAGAAGAGGATGCCTCAACTTTGTCTCTTGCTCCACAAACACTAATTTGAACAAAAGCATCCTTTACAACAATCTCTCCCCACATTTTTGCTTAGCGTTAAGGTGGAATTCTGGATCCTGTGCCAATGTTGCAATATCCCGTCACTTTTTAATGCACTGCGGTGACACACTTACTGGGAAGTTCATTCTCACTTTCTCATTCTTCCCCAAGAGTCCTCACTGTAACCCCTGAAGCAAAGGTGGACATTTTATGCACCCCCCCCCCAGCTGTTTTGGCCTACAACTGCCACCAGTCTTGCCCAGCACAGTCAATAGCGGGGGCTTATGGGAGTTATAAGCCAAACTAGCTGGAGGACCACAAGTTGCCCTCCCCTGCTTTAGAACAAGGTAACAAAGGCTGGCTATACCTTTCGTTAGCTGCTGCAAAAAAAAATATAGTGGGCTAATGGCTATCCAGGGATAAAATTATATTACCTTCTGGCAGGACTCAATGAATTCTTCAATAGTCACCACACCATCTTTGTTTCGATCCATTTTCTGAAATGCAAGCAAAGAGAAATGTAAATGGAAGGAGAGGCTTGTTTAGGAGCAGCTTCTATGTAATAGAAGCCCTCTACAACACCAAAAATCAAAAAGCACATTTCCAGCTTCAAGACAGAGATGGTTCAGCAACCTTGTCTCTGCACTGGGGAAACCTGAAAGGCACTACTGGAAGATAATGGTTCCCTTTCTCCTTTTAATCATTTTGCAGGTATCCATGGAGACATCAAATAACTGGTGTTACAAACAGGTTCAAGACTATGAATATAATGCTAGGATTTAAAAGAAATGAGGGGTGCTATCTACAGTAAAGACTGCAAGAGAGGAACGCAAGCTTCCATATGGGAAGGCTAAAGCTTTGACAAAGCCCTGTTTGAGGCTTCTAGGAAGAAGATCCATTCAAATATTTGGACCAAAATAACCCACAGTCTCAATTCCCAGCAGTGGGAACATTTTTGTGGATGAGGAACAAGGTACTGACATGGAAATGTCTGGATTTTAAGTTCACCTGGAAGAAGTTTTCCACATGTTCCCGAGGTGCCTCTTCATGCATGGCTGGATATGTGTACTTGCCCATCATGTCATAAATGGATTTCATTATGTCCAGCATTTCCTGTAAGTCAGAGTACCAAAGAAGAGTCATAAAGTAGATGACTAGGAGAGTCTATCCTCTTTAGAGATCACTATATCAGCCTCCCCTCACCTGGGGTTATCCAGACATTTGGGGTATATGTAAGTTCCCATTTGCCCCAGCCAGCATGGCAAATGGATAGGCATTCTGGGAGTTGTAGTCCAAAACAACTGGCAGATGCCAGATTGGGGGAGGCTGCTTTATATATACCTCTTTGGTGATGCAGCCATCTTTGTTCAGGTCATAGAGGTTGAAGGCCCAATTGAGCCGATCATCTACAGTGCCACGCAGAATAATGGACAAGCCAGCCACAAAATCCTGTAGGAGAATAAAGCAGAAAGATGAGCTGAGGAATCAACCAAGTACAGCCCATGTGCTACTAAGGCTGTGACTTAAGCACTACAGCTGCAAGAACATGGAGTGGATCCAGTAGGTACAAACTACCAGGTCCCATTCATAGTTATTAAATGAAGAATGCCCCCAGGAAAAATAATTCAACTTTTAATATTTCTACAGTGTGATTCTAAGGATGTTTAAACTGAATGGAAGTCCCACAAACAGCAAAGGATTGCATCCTTAGAGATTTCTCCAGCCATCTTTCCATCTGTCTTTCCACGAGTGCGTTTTTAACAACAGTGTATAATGTTGGACTATCATCAAGAGCAAGATTCTCAACTTTCATTCCACTTTTTTGTGGAACTCCCTTCTGACACTCCTAGTTGCAACATAGTGTGACATTTTCACATTCGGGCAGCAATTTTGTGGCTAGTGCACTTGGGAGCAGAAATATATAATTCATACATGCAAATAACAGTCCACAAAACTTTTTAGAAAATTACTGTGCAGGAAAGAGAGCCATTGTGGCTTCTCTGCTTGTTTGCAGGAGGCAGAAAGAGGACCTGTCCAATTGCCCTGACTTCTCAGCAAAGTGTGGGTCTTAATTTAGAATTCGTGACAGCCCTGAAATGTAGATCCAAGCACATCCAGCAGGTGGCCCCACTGACCAGCTGAGTGGCAAGGCTCAGGTGGGTGCCTCACTATGAGTGCAGGAGTAGCTTTTTATATATTTTTAGGGATGATGAAGCTGTAGGACAAGCTGTTTGCATGCACTGAAAGCAGCATACACGTCTATGCTGGGTACAGATCTTTAAATCCAGAAAAGCTTTTGTCAACAGCTTGGGAATATAGTTAATGTTGCAGTTCAATTTGTGAAGTCTGGGGGCCATCTGTAATCAATTTCTACGTACTTTTGCTTTAATTTGACACTTCGGTTTGTCACATAAGTGACCTGTGTATACAGTGCCTTGCAGAAGTATTCACCCCTTTTGACATTTACACATTTTCTTGTGCTATAACATGTTACTCAGTGCTGTGAGGGTGCAAGTATTGTTACAGTGGCAGAAAAGTGAACAAAAACAAACTGGCACTGGTTGGTTGCATAAGTTTTAACCCCAGCGAATCAATACTTGGCAGAAGCACTTCTGGCAGTAATTACAGCTACATGTCTTCTTGGGTAAGTCTCTGTCAGCTTTGTGCAGCTGGATCCTGCAGTGTTCGCAAAGCAATGTTCTTCCTGGCAAAACTTTTCCATCGCTGTCAGTAACTTTCAAGTTTTGCCACAGATTCTCAGTTCAATTGAGCTTTGAGTGGGCCACCCTAGGACATTCAGATTCTTGTTTTAATCCATTCCCGTTTATTCTGGTTGTGTGTTTAGCATCATTGCGCTGCTGGAAGGTATGCGTCCATCCCAGTCCCAAGTCCCCTGTAGACAACAACAGGTTTTTCTCTAAATCTGCCCTGGGTATGGCTCCATACACATTGCCCTTAATCTTGACCTGCTTCCTGGTCCTTGCTGAGGAAAGGTGTCCCTACAGCATCATGTAGCCATCATCATGCCTCCTGTGAGGATTGTGTGTTCTGGGTAATAAGCACTGTTGGTCCTGTGCTACACAAGTGCAGCTAAGCCAAAATATTCAGTGTTGGTATCATCACACAGAGAAGCTTTTTCAGTTTGTTTGCTTCTGTTCCCTATGTGCTGTTTTTGCAAACTCCACGGGGACTTCGATACGAGTTTGTTTCAGCAATGGCTTCTCTCTTTCCATTCTTCCATAAGCCTGGCTTTATGGGTATCCAGGTGATAGCTGTCCTGTCAACAGCTACTTCCATGTCAGCTGCAGATCTCTCTAGCTCCTTCAGCATTACCACTGACATTTTGGTTGCTCCTCTGAGTAATGCCTTTCTTGCCCAGTCTCTGATTTTTGGTGGATAGCCTTCTCCACAACTTTATCTCAGAGGGGGTTTTTTCATGGCCTTCATGATACTGTTTGATTAGATATGCTCTCCAACAAATTCTGCAGCCTTCCAGAAACAGTTGTACTAAGTTTGGGATCATATAGTACTCAAACTGCACACAAGTGAACTCCAGTCAACTACATATGGTTTTCTGGAGGCAGTGGGCTACACCAGAATTTATTTAGGTATGCAGCCACAAAGGGGGGAACATTTATGCAACCAGTAAGTACTAGTTCATTTTTGTTTCCTTAACTTTAGTGCCACAATAAAATTATTTCCTACTTTCACAGAGTTGTATATCTTGTATACATTAAGTGGCAACAATGCCAATTAAATCAACTTCAATTTCAGGTTGTAACACAACACAATGTAGAAAAGTCATTCAGGATGAATACTTCTACAAGGCACTATGTGTAAATAGAAGCAGGGTATCCTTATTAATTCTGATAAGAACATAAGAAAAGCCATGCTGAATCATGGTCTGTCCAGTCTGGCACTTCGTTCACATGGTGTCAAACCAGCTGTCCACAGGATCCCTCCAGCAGGATGGGTACCAGAGTTCCACCTGGCCAAGCTCCTTAGCAACTTGTATATGCAGGCATGCTGCCTGTGAAAACAGAGGCAGTACATACCCAGCAAGGCTAGTCACCATTGATAGCCTCCTCCATGAATTTGTCCAGTCACATTTAAAGCCATCCAAATTGGTGGGCCTCACTAGTTCCTGTGGCAGTAAACTGCACAGTTTACTTATACACTGTGTGAAGAAGTTCTTTCTTTTAACTGTTCTACATCTCCCACCAATTACATTCATGGCATGTCTCCCCTCTCCGCTTTCTTCGCACCTTGTATAATGTCAAACACTTCTATTCTGTCTTCCCTTCCTTGTCTTTATTCTAAGTTAAATAATCCCAGTTATTATAGCTACTCCTTATAGGGGAATTGCTTCAATCCCTCGATCATTTTAGTTGCCCATCTCTGCACTTTTTCTAACTCAATAGTGATCCTTTTCAGGTAAGACCAACACAGCTATACACAATATCCTAAGTGTATTTGCTCCAAAGATTTGTATAACGGAAATAAAACAGTGGCAGTTCTATTTTTTCTTCCATTGCTAATTATGCCTAACATGGACTTTGCCTTTTTCACAGCAACTGTGCACTGGACTGACATTTCATTGAGTGGTCCACTACAACCCCAAGAACCCTGCCTTGATTAGTTCCTGCTAGCTGAGATCCCATCAGCCTATACTTGAAGTGGGGATGTTTTACCTTAATATGGTAATTTTGCAGCACTAGAAAGCCCGCCCCATCTAATGTTTAATCAAAAAGATAAGTATTGCTGTTTTTAATTTACAACACACCCAGAGAGGTATTTGTTGTAGGGAAGGCCAATAAACGTAAATGTATAAATATTAATGGAATCTTACCTCAAAGCTGACAGAGCCATCATGGTCAGTGTCAAATGCATTGAAAAGGAATGTTGCATATGTACTGGAATCTAAAGAGAGGGACATCAAAGCAAATGATCAGGAGATTCTGTACTCTGCACAGTTTACCAGATTTCAGCAGTTTAACTGGGAGCAGGCAGGAAACAAGAAGAGAAAGTGATTACCACTGCAGCTTTTGGAAAGATGTTTCTGTGCACCCTGAAATTATTGTCTTTCCCTCTTGGTACAGAGGTCATATGTATTATGAAACTGAAGCACCATCTTAATTTAATAAATTATGTTTATGGTAGCTTACCAGTAAGAAAATACATCACAGCAGATTAATAATATTCCTAATAATAAAAACAAATGAATAGCAGTAATAAGATAGCAGCATAAAAACTATACTAGCAATCAGTGAACAAGGGATCAGCTCCTAAGGAGGCACAGATGCTCTGGATCTCCTTTTTCAGCTGCAGAGAGGAGGTCCATGGGTAGAGAAGGACATCTAGCACGGAAGGACTCTCCAATGCAATGATTCAAAGTGCTGCTGCTGTACTGCCGGTGCTGAGACTAGGAACAGGCAGTCCAGGAGGAGCCTTTGATCCACTGGATCCTATGCCCCCTTCTCCCCTAAAATAGGTCTGGTCTCCTGCCAGCCCAGGAGCTGACATAATAAATTCCTTCAATTGACAGGGGCAGTTTAAAAAGAGAGGGGAAAAGCCTTCCCCCAGGACCACAGCAAGCAACAGGACTTTGGATGTGGTGGAACAACCACAGATCCTCCACCTGCACCTCCACATGATCGCTCTGCAAAAGGTAAAATCGCAGGCTGACTTTTAAAAGCTTGCTTGAGAAAATGGTCTTAAGATCCCATTTAAAAGTAGGAGAAGGGAAGACTATGTTTAACTGCAAGGCAGCAAGATGTACAGTTTGCTTGGGCAAGGAAATGTGCTTGAAACAGTGGGCAGGGTAACAATGATACTGGTTTCATCTGGCCTCCCAAATTTTTCAAACTATCTGCCTTTCTTGACTGGGTGTAGAACTCACCTCCCTGTGGGAAGAACTGTGAGTAGATCTGCTTGAAGCTCTCTTCATTAACAATGCCACTAGGGCACTCCTGTCAAATGGAAAAGCATAGACTAGTTCACCTTGAAAGAGCTAATTTAAACTATATCCCAAGTTAGCAGCTGTTTGGCATGTAGTCAAGGAGAGCTTTGAGGGGCTGACAAAAAGTTCCCCATCTAACCAGTGACAGAAAACAGATAACCCAGAAGAAAGATTGAGATAGTGGCTCACTCCCAAGCTGGGGGCAAGGCTCTTGCATTAAAATATTACCTCTGCTAGGACAAAAAGTACCACCACCTCACCTCTTATCTTTTGGAGGTTACACTTAAGGTAATATAAGAAGTTCCAGTTGAGGTTGCAAGACATAGCCAGCAATATGAAGCAGAAACTCATTTGGTAAGGGGATTCCATTGTGGGCCAGAGGAATCCACAGTGCTTGCCTTCCATTCAAACTGCACAGCAAAGTTACCTCTGTGCTATGGAGTTAGCCACCACTGGCTTAGGGGAATGGAGGGATTCCAAGGGAGTCAGTGACTGGGTTCAGATAACACAATAGTCCACACTCAGAGGCTGAAAGTG